TCCTCATACCTACCTGCAAGCATCCAAACATCCTCACTGGCGCAAAGCAATGCAAGACGAGTATAATGCTCTTCTCAGCACAGGTACATGGTCTTTAGTCCCTTCTATATCATCTCACAATATTGTAGGCTGCAAGTGGGTATTCAGAATAAAGAGGAATCCGGATGGGTCTATTGACAGATACAAGGCCCGATTGGTTGCAAAAGGCTACAATCAACAAGAGGGCTTGGACTATTCTGAGACTTTTAGTCCCGTGGCCAAACCAGTTACCATCCGCATACTTCTCACTCTTGCTTGTCAATTTGATTGGTTTCTCAACCAACTTGATGTTAGCAATGCTTTTCTGCATGGTACTCTTATCGAATCTGTGTTTATGCAACAACCTCCTGGATTTGAGGATGCCACCAAGCCTCATCATGTTTGCCATCTTCACAAGTCTCTCTATGGTTTGAAACAAGCTCCTCGAGCTTGGTATGAAAAGTTGCATGGTGCTCTTGTTTCCTTGGGATTTACTGGTTCCCAAAATGATCATTCCTTGTTCATTAAAAAGGATCCCCATTTGGTCTTTGTATTAGTCTATGTGGATCACATTTTAGTCACTGGACCCTCTTCTGCAGCATGTCAAACAGTGATCAAGAAATTAAGCAGTTTGTTCCCTGTTAAAGACCTTGGTCCGTTACATTATTTCTTAGGCATTGAAGTCAAGAGGTCATCTTCTGGGATCTTTCTTAATCAATCAAAATACATTCTTGATCTTCTGCACAAGTCTCATATGGATTGAGCCAAACCTTGTGCAACACCCCTGAGTACAGACAAGCTTGATCATGACTCTCCACTTCTTGACAATCTTACTGAATACAGGTCTTTGGTAGGAGCATTACAGTATCTCACCTGGACTCGTCCTGATTTGAGCTTTGCTATTAATCTGGTTTGTCAGTACATGCATCGTCCTCGAGTCTCTCATCTTCAAGCTGTCAAAGAATCCTTCGGTACTTAAAAGGTACTATTGATTTGGGGTTATGGTTCTCTAAAACTTCAGTTCCCTTGGATATTCAAGCATTCTCTGATACTGATTGGGCAGGTTGCCCTTTAGACAGGAGATCCACCGGTGGCTTTTGTATTTTTCTTGGGAGTTCTCTTATCAGCTGGAGTGCTAAAAAGCAACCAACAGTGGCAAGATCATCCACTGAAGCTGAATACAAGTCCCTTGCTCATACTACTGCAGAACTGTCCTGGATTTCTAAAATTTTAACTGATATAGGCTACTCTCTTCCTTGTGTTCCTCAGCTGTGGTGTGATAATATCTCTGCCATTTCTCTGGCAAAGAATCCTATTTTTCATGCTCGCACAAAGCATGTCAAAATAGATTATCATTACATACGGGAGAAAGTTTTAGCCAACCAAGTTGCTATCCGTTTTGTGTGTTCACAAGATCAGATTGCTGATATTTGTACCAAGCCTCTGTCCAAATCCCGATTTACACTTCTCCGATACAAACTCTCTCTTCGGCTCCCTCAGTTTCGTTTGAGGGGGGATATTAAGGACAAAAGTGTAAATATCTCTTCAAGAGATATATCTTAGAGACTAAGTAATTGTTACAGGTTGTTAGGACAGTTAGTTTTTTTGTTAGACTTGTCTTACATGTATATATACTCAAGGTGTAATATTATTGAGGTTAAGGAAATGAAAATATATTTTTCTAATACAATTTACCAAGCTTCCTTGGCAGATGGACATTTCAGTATCATCGAAATATAATTGCATATTATTTCCTTGAAACAAGCTTGTGGTGCTTGGGGAAGGTGGTTACTTGGGTGCTTCACACAGTTTATTACTACGACTGCAAAAAGATCGTCCTACTAAATTCTGAAGATCAAGCAACAACATCTCCAGTTCGTATTGAAAATATCACGTTGCTGAATTGACAAAATAAATTACATTATACAAAAAATGGTCCGTTTCTTAATTACACCGAGTCCTTTTGCAGTGACATCCTCACATCTGCCGTGCTACGTAGATGGTGAGATGCAAGTTGAGAAACAATATCAGTCTCACTAGTAGTGGAGGGTTGATTCATTCCTATGAGCTCTTTTAAGAGATTGTAATGATGTCTTTTCTAGATCTATGTCAAAATATTTCGTGTTCATTTTCGTATGTATGTATTATAGGCTTCCACTCCATAAATTAATCCGTTATGTCGAATTTTTTTTTCTTGCTTTTGATTATTTCTACGTTGTGTTGATTAAGTCTTTTGGCTCGATTTTCAAAGATTTTTGTTTTTGTTTTCGTTGATGATGTATGAATTTACTTGGAAATATTCATATGAATTTGGTATAGGCTTCAATGTAGCACTCTTGTATCTGCAATTCGAACCTAGAATACCATTTGACAAAGTGACATTGTCGTTCTGTTAAGAATAGACACGTGTCATCAAACTAGGCCAAGGACATGGGGGTATAGGAAAAACGGGGATATCAAAATTAAGCTTAAGACACAAAATCAAGGTTACTTTGTAAAAAAAAAAAAAGAAACAAAATCAAGGTTAACCAAACAATGGCTAAGAACCGAAAAATTGGCAACTTGGGGGCAGGGGATAAGAAAAATTAGATTTTATAATCCCCTAATTTACTTAATTTCAAAAGAATCTTGACGGACTTGTAGCTCATTCACTAATTCCATTCCTTGTTGTATATGAAGTCTCGAATTTGATTCTCTCATTTCTTAATATCATTCATATCAAAAGGATGGACTTGTATATTTTTCTTAGTAAATTAACGCAGAACAAGCTAACAATCATTTACAAGCATAAGTCATTGAAGAACAAGTTATGGGAAGGTATCATAGGCTCAAATCGGAGCTTAGATGCCAAATTTGAAAAATTTCATTGCATCCCTTAGTCTTCCTTCCCTCTCCATTTCGTCTTCAATCCACTCAATCATTCGTTCTACATCATAAAATGCGACCAGTCATTTGTAGATATAGGTGTAGTTAAGCAAGTTAGAGCATTGTTTCACGTCATGTCATGCACCCCTCGTTTGTCTAAAGAAAAAAGGATAATGAAAAGTCGTCCGTCAAATGTGAAAATTTTCATTGCATCCTTTAGTCTTCCTTTCCTCTCCATTTCGTCTTCAATCCACTCAACTATTCGTTCTACGTCATAAAATGTGACCAGTAATTTGTAGATATAGATATAATTAAGCAAGTTAGAGCACCGTTTCACGCCATGCCGTGCACCCTCGTTTGTTTAAAGAAAAAAGGATAATGAAAAGTCGTCGGAGTCAAGTCCACCCTTTGACTAGTCATCATCCGCGTCATCTAGAAAGACTTCCTCCTCACTCGGAAACTCTCTATTTTTGTGTACAGCTCAATCAGAAACTTTAAATTGTGAGGGGATTGAGCTTGGAAGCGAAGCCATGGAGATGGAAAGCAATCTTGTTATGAAGAATCAGAAGCTGGGAACATCGGACATTCTCAGGCAAGCTCTTATAATCCCTGCCAGAAACATCAAATTCTTTATTTTCGCAATCCTCGCCTCCCTTCCTCTCTTCTGTTTCTTGATTTACTATGAACCCCATCTCCAAAAAATCATGGTTGAAACCTCGAAAATCCTCAACCCCCCACGAGAAGCCGACATCAACGGCTACTTGACTTACTTCGACTTGAGCTGGTCAATACCAATTGACATATCAAGAAAGTTGAACCAAGATTTTCCCAATGAGTTATTTTATCTGGAATTTCTCTATCTGGTGCCTCTCCATATCCTCTACCTCGTAACCGCGATTCCGATTGTTTACTTGGGATCCAAGATACACACAGAAGAGAGTCCAGTGATGACTCTCAAAGATATGGTGAAAAAACCCTTTGACAAAAAAAGGCTGAAGGGAACTTTTGTAACATATTTTTATGTTCTTGTGTTGTCAAGTTGTACTCTGCTGGGGCTGACATGGTTGGGAATAACCTACTATGCTGTCTTTCGCAACTTCGAGCATTTCGATGCTTTGTTCTATGCCGTACTGTGTTGGCCAGCATTTGTAGGGCTTCTGGCAATGTTTTCGGCATGGAGTGCGGTGTGGAACATGAGCATTGTGATTTCGATACTGGAGGGAGGGAGCGGAATCAAGGTGTTTGGAGAGGCGATATATTTGAGCAGCGGAAGCGAGTGGAGGGGGTTTATTTTGATGCTCATTTTCTTTGCCTGGGAAGCAAGTTTGAGGCTGCCTTGCATCTATTTCGGCTGCTACGAAAGCAGGCATTATTTTGGTGGTATTCTTGCGCAGGTTTGCTTGTTCTGCTTTGGGAATGTGCTGAAGTGGATTGTCTGCATCGTATATTTCTACGATTCCAAGAACCGGGCGTTGGAGAAGAAATTGAAGATGCAGGCCAAGAAGAGAGGTGAAAGCATTGGATGAATATCCTCATTATCCAAAGTCTTGTAGCTAAATTTGTAACTTCTTTTTGTTGGTACTAGTTAATATGTGTTTCTTGGAATTGTGAAGATGTTGCAATCTTTCAAAAATACTATTTCAACTGGATGCATTCTTCCATCAAATAATGTATTTTTTAAACTCTCCAGCAAGTAGTACAAGCTGCTCCCTTCTGATAGCAGATGCCAAACTAAGCCAGATAGTAATCTGTTGAGTAAAAAATAGCAAGAATTTAGCCATTCGCAGCCTCGTTGCTAAGGCGAATGTATTGTCTAATCAGATTTTCAAAGCACCCAGCAATCACTACAGCACTAGTAACTGCAAAACTGTTACACTGACTGAGTTATGAAGTGCAGCATAAGGTCTCCACAGAAGTGCAAAGGGGTGAGAACTGGTGAAATGTGGCTCTTCCACAAAGTAGGTCATCAACCAATGGCTTCCTCTACATGTGAAAATTAACAGCTCTGGGGCCATGATATTATTACTTTTATTAATCATGAAACAAATGGGGGTGTTTCAAGAAGAGCTAAAAGAGTACTCTGGTAATCAAAAGAGTTTCGAAGTTTGGCAGAAAAACTTGAAATAAAAGTGCTTTTGGCTAGCAGAGGAGCCTTCTGTAGAAGTACTTCCAAGTGCTTGAATTTTAATAAAAATTACAACATGTTTCTATCAAAAGCATTTCTAGAAAAACGCTTATGAACAAAACTGCTTTTTACAAAACCAGTCACAAACGAAACTTTAAAGTCTACAAGTCAAGTCCACCATTGGCTCTCCTTCAGATATGCAATAGGCTGAAACCATCAAGAAAGAGACTTTCGGTGGATGGTGGTTGGTTTGTGTGGACTTGAGTCTTGACTTGGACTTGTCCCCATTGCTAATTGCTTACAGAAAGACTTCATGTTCATTTAGAAACTCACAGTTGTATTTGAAACTCTGTGGATTGAGCCTGGAAGTGAAAGTATGGAGATGGAAAGCAACCTTACGGTGAAGAATCCGAAGCTAGAAGCCTTCGGAATTCTCCGAAAAGCTCTTGCAATCTCTGCCAAAAACACCAATTTTTTTGTCTTCGCAATCCTCACCTCCCTCCCTCTCTTCTGTTTCATGATTTACTATGAATCTGTTCTCCAAAAATTCATGGTCGAAATCTCAGAAATTCTAAAACAAAACCCCGATGATCTCGACTTCTATTGGCTCGTACCTCTTGACATAGCCAGAAAAATGAAAGACTATTCTGCTGGGTTCATTCATCTCAGTCTTCTGTATCTTGTGCCTCTCCATCTCCTAGAGCTCAGCACCGTGCTTTTGATCGTTGATTTGGCATCGAAGATCTATGAAGAAGAGAGACCAACGATGACTCTCAAGGAAATGCTACGTATACCCTTTGACAAAACAAGATTGAAGGGCAGTTTTGTTACATCTGTCTATGTTCTTGTCTGGTCAACCTGTATGCTTCTCGGATTGATATGGTTAGCCGCAACATACTGTGTTGTCTTCCAGCCAGTAATGTACGGACTGTACTTTTCTGTTTGGTGCTGGCCGGCATTTACAGCACTGCTTACGATTTACTTAGCATGGAGTGTTGTGTGGAATGTGAGTCTTGTGATTTCAGTGTTGGAGGGGACACATGGGATCAAGGCGTTTGCGCTAGCGATATATTTTAGCAGCGGTAGTGAGTGGAAAGGGATTCTTTTGATGCTTGTTTTCTTTGCTTGGGAAGCAATTTTAAGGTTGCCTGGCATATACATCGGCTTCTACGAAAGGACTAATTATGTTGCTCTCGCTGCTGAGATTAGCTTGTTCTGTTTTGGGAATGTGGTGAAGTGGGTGGCCTGCACGATATAATTCTGCGATTGCAAGAACCGGGCTGTCGAGAAGAAGTTGGCGATGAAGGGTAAGACACGTGAAAACTGTGGATGAATTTCATGATCAGAAACTCCAAAGCTCAGTTAGGAACAGCAATCCATCAGTTTTCACATTATGCAGATAAACTAGGTCTTCTGGCTCAATTTGTATCGTTTTATGTATCACTTTGATTGAAAAAGTTTCATATAATTAAGTTGCCCTTGTACTACTGTTGTGCAACATCGTCCCGCTCAGGTGTAGGGTTTTATCCAAAAGATATCGGTGTTATTAGCACTCAACTGTTTGTATTTGGTAAACGATGTGCAATATATTCCATATTTATAATTGTTTGTGTAGCATTTTACTATGTTGCAATGTGGGGACATATGAAACTACAACTTGTTGAGATCACTTTCCTTCACAAAGAGTCCATGGAAGCCATAAGGCACCCGCCGGGGCATCCTCACAGCAGCCACAATGTCAAGCTGAGGAGACTTGGCATCCATCACCAAGAACTTCGATTCCCCGGCCTTCTCATCGTGAACATACGACACCACATACCCGTCGTCCTCATCCGCATCCGGATTCTCGGGCTCTCTGGCCACGAAAAACGGCTCGCCCCCGTAGCACCCCGGGCCAAACATCCTGCTGGCCACAATAGACTCCTTGTGCTCCGAATTAGACACATCCAATTTCACAACTCCTGATATCTTAGGCATGGGATCACCCACAGCTGCATACACATACTGATTCTTCTTCCCCAAGTAAGCCGGATTGATCAAGGCGAAATCCAGATTTCTAGTTGAAATCGGCTGCCTCGTCACAATCCCCGTCTTCAGATCAATCCGAACCTTCTCAACCAAAGAATGAACAAGCTCCATTCTCTCCATTGTGTGTTCTGCTGACAAAACGTTTGGTGCCACCATCACAATAGCATCCTCCTCATCCCATGCATTGATAGCATGTACGTTGTTGAAACCCGGCACCTCAAACCACCTCATCTCCGACTCGTCCTTCGCGTACCGCGGAATGACTCCGATCCTCGGCACTTTGGAAGGGTCCAAACCAACAGGGGAGGCTCCTTTAGTGATCATGTCAATAAGGTTCATCCCAATTTGTATGTCAGCAAATATGGCATATTTTTTTGTGATTGCAAAGTCATGGAGGAACGATGGAGTGACCATGGAGAATATCGGCACGTCCGGCTGCTTCACGCCATTCGAGTCGAAGCGGAAGTAGGTTAGAAACGGCGGTATAGGGCCATAGCGGAAGGCGAATGCCTCCCCCGTTTCTGGGTCTACCTTCGGATGAGCTGTCATGCTCATGGAGAGCTTGCCGTCGAAATCATGGCGTCCCAGAGTCTCGATGTCTCCGTCGGACGTCAGGCGGAGGGAGTACGGGAGATCGGACTCGCCGAGAGCGTAAAGTCGGTCGCCGAAGAAGGCCAAACTTGTGTTTGCAAGACCAATGCCATTTGCAGGATTGAATTGGCCTGTAGACAAAGTAACGTTTTAATATTTGTATCAAGAGAAATTACGTGTAAAATGTTCGAAGTTAATAAGACCAAAAACTTGTGTGACAGTAACAGCTTCAATCTATACACTTGAATCATAGTAGGAATTAGGTTCATAATTTAGTTTGTGTTAATAATTAACTTAGTAATGGAGTAATTAAAGTGTGGCAAGTGATTTTCCCGCTTTCATTTTCTCTTGGTGCACTAATTTCTTGTTTTGTGACATTTAAATCAAAGAATTAAAGATAAAGAAGGCTTTACAATCCCTACCCTAAAACAGAGGTGGCCGCACCTCCAGCCTAGGAGCGAGATTCCGCCCCTTTGCTTGACGGCTGGGGCGTTGTGCTGTGCTTTTTGTTTTTCAGGAAAAAAACAAAAAACACAAGGCCTTTTTTTGACCTGGGATGAAAAGAAAAAACGTCGTTTCGTTTCAAGAAACATAGCAGGGACAACTTGTCAGGCCAAAAATGTTATTTTTTGAGGGTAATATAGGAAGATTAAAATTTTAAATTAAATTTATAAAGTAAATGATGTGGTTGTAGATGATTTAATTATTAATTAAATATCGATTAACGTGCTTGTTTCTTATTATAGTACAACATTATATTTATTTATTTACACAATTTATTGTCTATTTAGTGTACTCCTTACATTTTCACTCAAAATTATATTTAGTTCTATTTATGCATATTTTTTCGGATAGTGCCAAAAAAATTAAATTTGTAGTCAAATTTTATTAATTAAATAACATAAAAGTTAATGATTAAATTATTACTTAAGTGTTTAACGTTTTTACTTCTTAATAAGTAATATTATGTACTAAATTTGTAAATCAAATGATGTGTTACTAATATAAAATAAGCACCCCAATTAAAACCTAAGTAATAATTTAATCTATAAATTTAATTTATCTAGCATTATTCAAAAAATATTAGTGTTATTGGTGAAAGAAAGAAATATAAATTAAATTTTTTGTTATAAGGTATTGCGGACCCTGCCTGTAAAGACGCGGGCAGCGGAGAGAGCGCCACGTGTAGCGGAAGCGGTGAGGCCGTTGAAGCCGGAGAAGACGTTGGGAAGAATAGGGTGGCCGGCGTCGCGCTCAACGGTGTACTTGTAGGTCTTGACATATCTGCTGCAGAGCACCGCCCGGCCTCCAGAGATCCTAACGGAGTGAAGCATTCCGTCCCCGTCGAACAGGTGGTAGGGCCCACGCGGAAGGTACTGCGGGTTCGGGCCATTGCGAATGTAGGCTCCGTCGAGGCACGGCGGCAGGGAGCCCTGTATGATCTCGCACTCCGTGGGCGGAAGTTCCTCAACCGGAGCAAAGTTGTAGGAGAGCACGTGCCTGGGGTCCACCGAGGGTTTCACTGGAGGGTCTATGAAGTTGTTGATGAAGTCGTCCAGAGCGTTGAAGATCACTGCGGGTAGCGCAGAACTTTGTTGTTTTGCCGCAGTGAAAGTTGAAGCATTGTTTTGAAGTGCACGATCTGTCTTCGCCTCTAGCGGAGGCTGTGGAGTGCTTTTCGGAGGCGGCGGCGGCGGCGGCCTTGAAGCTGGTGGTTGGGAGATGGGTCTTTCTTCAATTCTGACAGCAGAAATGCTGCTGAGCCTGGGGGATGTTATGGCAGGAGAGATTGATATCCTTTGAGTGGGAAACGTAGACAGAAAGGAGGAAGAGAAGGCATCCATATCTGGTATCTATGATCTTCACAACAAAACCCAACAGTTGGATTTTGCTGAGAAATGGTAGATCTGTAGGTCGGAATAAATAAGGGGTGTTAGGAGCTTGGGATATTTCCATGGTGTGTGAGGACGAAAGCATTTCTGGCCACAAGTACAGTAGAGGGACCACATTTCTGCTATATATGTGCCACTTCCCAAACGGATGGTTCTAGGACACTTCAAACCAAACCATATCCAGGTAATAATTTCATATCCTTTGCCGTGCTTTGGAGAGAATCTACAATTTATGGTGTATTATTTTCGTTTGTCACATGGGATGTATAGTCGGATAGTTGAGTTTATTTCTAATTAATATGTGACTAAGTAATGCAATGAGAGCAATAAACATGAGTTATACGTATGAGAATAGCTAATATCATCTCTTTTGTGATGACTACGTGACTAAGTACCTTGACAATAGCGGTAGACACATAGAATATACATATGAGAGTAGTTAATTTCATATCTCTCATTACGTGACTAAATAACGTGATAAGAGTTATGTGACTATATGACTAGGTACCTTGACGAGAGCGGTAGACACATGGAATATACATATGAGGATAGTTAATTTCATCTCTCTTGTTACGTGATTAAGTAACGTGATAAGGGTGACAAAAATAAAAAAATATACAACCGAAAATAGATAATGACCTGTTTGGTATCCTTTTAAAAAAAATTCATCATTTCTGAAAGCACTTTTTAAGAACATCTATTGAAACAATGTCAAAAACTTGTTTGATATGAAATTTAAAACTATTTCAAATCTTGAAACTTAAACTGTAAAAAAGATCCAAAGATAAGGGGTCGGAGGAGAGGGAGAAAGAGGAGACATGAAAGAAAGAAAGAAAGAAAGAAAGGATTAGAGGAGAGAAGGAGAAGAAATAAAAAGAGAGATATAGATATCCAGACTCCAGAGTGAGAGGGAAGGAGAAGGGAAAAAAAAAAAAGGAGTGAGTTTTAAGTTTAAAATTTCTAAAAACCTGCTTTTGGTGTTTTCAAAAAATAGGCTATTTTCTTAAGTTAGACTTGAGTTCAGTTTTTGAAAATATTCCGAACCAACAAGTTTTTAAGGCCTAAAACTTGAAAGATGTTTTTGAATTTAAAAAGCTGAATTCAAGTAAAGTACCAAACATGCTTTAAAAATCTCATTCTGTTTTTGGGACCATTTACTTTGGATCAAAGATACATGACGGAAAATGAATGGTAGCCTGGTTGCGTGTGTCAACAAACCACATTGAATTTAGAGGGGCACCCTTGTCCCGTTCATCTTGGTCATTTTCTTATCAACAATTTTTGTATAATACTTGGACTAATATCTAAGTATCAGTCTTCTACTTGGGAATAATGTGTTGTGATACCCATGGGTCTAAATTCCAAGCAAAACTTGTGCAGGATTTTGTTTGTCAATGAATCTTCTTGAATGGCACTACAATCTTTGCCACACGGCAAATTTTAAATATAATTTTTTATTTATTAACTTTATATTTAAAACTCTCGTAACTTTCTCCGCAAGGAAAATACAAAAAGTGAAAACAACATTAGAGGATACTAATTGTTGAAGATATAAAAAGCGAAAACGACAATAAGGAATACAATTGGTTGCTGTGTCAACAAAGTGCATTTAATTTTTGAATTTCGGTGCACTCGCGTCACATTCATCTTGGTATTTTCTTATCAAATTGGGAGACACTAAAAATCATAAGAGAATGCCTTATGATCTTCTGCTATCGTAAATTTGGATGAAATAATGCCTTATATTTTTGTAATGATTATATAGTGCATTTAAGACCTTGTTGCCTAATGTTTTGCAGTTCATTTTAAAAAAAAGAACAATGAAATTGAATACATAATTATTTATTTATTTTTTATTTTTAAACTCTCACTCAGAGAAGTTTAGAAATAATGACTGTTTACATAGAATAAACTTAGAAATTGGAGGTTTCAAATTCTAAGTTTTTTTTTTTTCAAGCGAAAATTCTAAATTTCTTTGTTTATGAACATGTCAAGTTATAAATTTTGACTTTTGTTAAAATTTCAAATTTATTTCTTTCATCTAAACATATTACGAGCGGCAAGTGCTTATGTTTTCACTTTGTAAATCTCTCCTCACGTGTAGAGTGAGGGACTGAAACTTCAATTTAAAAAAGAAGAAGACTCAATTTAAAAGAAAAAAAATGGTCCCAAAAGGGAGGCAAGAACTTTTTTTTAAAAGGAAAACTAATGAAAATGGTTTGAAAACTTTGAGTTTTAACGACAAGGATAAAATAAAGGGTAAAGTGAATAGTACCAGGATTGACTTTTTAGTGTAAAAATGGATTTTTCGTTAAAGTAAACAGTACCGAGAGTTTTTCGTTAAAGTTCTCTTTTTTAAAGGGTTGTGTGTTTCTCGTGATCACGTGGGTTGTCCACGTGATTTGGTAACGCAACTGCAAAATGTGTGAATTTAAAAAGTTGAAAAGATACAACCTAGTGATATTTTTATTTACTTGTAAATAAGAGATCTTGAATATTGTGAATGACGAGATCACAATTAATTTATTCTCTCATATATTGTATTAACATTTTTGCTGCAACTTTTTTGTTCATTTGGAAGTGGAGCTTCAAGATCTGTATTTTCAGCACGAGTTTCAGATTCCACATTAGCACATTGGGCCTCCTTAGTCGAGAATGCTTTGGATACAATTGGGCTACCATATTTCTTACTTTGGGCTTTATCATTAGACCTGTTTTCTTTTGGGCTCAAAATGCAGAAATCGGGCAACAAATGACCAAATAATAAAGCCATGTTAAAGATGTGATATATGCCAAACACTCAGTATTACGATTCAATAATATTTATCTTCAATTGTAAGTGAGAGGTTTTAATATAAATATATCAATTTATTAAAAAAAAATGTGATGCACCATTCTGGTTAGTTTTTTTTATTTATTTTTTAACGAAAGATATTATTTAAACTAGGTGTGTGCTAAGTCTCACAATAGGTGAACAGTAATAATGTAGTTCAAATTCGCATTTGGCGAGAATCAAACCTAAGACTTCTCACTTACAAGTGAAGAGAAATGTCACTAGATCTTAATACTAAGTGGAACCATTCTGGTTAGTTAAACCTAACAATTACTCCCCTAAGAGAACTTTTAACAATTGAGGACTCGTTCGGAGATTTTTCTGTTGAACAAAATTCTGCTCATGAGTTCACTAAAAGTGTTTTTTAAGAAGTATATTGAAACCCTTATTGGGCGTAGTCAAATTACGATTTGGAAGGATTTTAAGAGATTTAAGAATCATGGTGCGGACAACTAGGATTATAAAGGAAATTTTTAAAAAACTTTGAAATCATGGTGCAGTCAATGCATCGAAATTCAAGTGTAGTCGACTAGGATTCTAAAAGACTTTTAAAGAGTTCATACAAATCTATAGATATTCAAAAAGTCATATATTTAGATGGACTTCATTGAATAAGATGCATAAAAAAAGACTATAAAGAATTCCACCTCCACCCGTAGGATTTCAAGATTTCCCTTCATTTAATCCCTCTATTTTCTGAATCACACTGAAGTCTTCTTCACTGAGGATATCAATCATTCTCTGCTGCCAACGTTCTTGGTTGGCCCTCCCTCTCAAGAGATGATGCATCAGTAGAAGTCTTGTGACATCACCCTCATTCCTTTGCTCCTCATTTCTTATATACCAATCGTCATGCTGCTTCAAAAGAGCTTTGTAAGGTCCACGTTAAATTTCAAGTGCTTCCTAAGTAAACCTTTGTATTTGCTTTCACTTATGGAATTCAATTATCAACCGCCACTTTATACAGTTTATAAAATATGGTCTAAACAGGCGGTCTTCCAAGAATTTTTCCTTTGTTTTTATGACAATGTTAAGTCAAATGTCAATGGGTGGAAGCTGAAACCTCATTCCCCAACAGGTATGGTATCATTGTCAAATACCAACCAAGCCGATGACTTGACGCCAAGTGTGTGGAAACCAAACCAAGTCTTCTCAATCCATTGTGATTGACTTAATAAATCTTTTTACATGAGAAGTGCTTTCCGCAAATCCCATTTTTAATCATGTACGCTTGTTTATTTCCGGCATTTGAATTGAAAACAAATGCGCTTGGACGGAAATCACTTCCTCTTCATATAAGTAATGAAGCATCCCCTCCCCTGCTTAATTTGTAGCTAGTGAAGGTTGTTGATATGGAAAGCAACCATATCATGGTGAAGCAAAAGTTAGGGTTCTTTGACATACTGAAACAACCTCTTAACTTAACCTACAAGAATACCCACTTTATTCTGCTCATCTTTCTCTCCTCTCTCCCTCTCTTCTGCTTCTTACTCTACTATGAACTATTGCTCCAGAAAACCCTGGTCCGAATCTCGGAATTCGTACGCCATCAACACCCCGATTCCTTCGGGTACCATTGGCAAACGCTGCTCCATACAGCCACAAGAACGATCGTTATATTTTCCAACAACTTGATCCAACTGGGAATTCTCTACCTTGTGCCTTTTCATCTCCTAGAGCTTTGCTCCGTTTATGTCACCGTTGATTCGGCATTAAAGAGCCATCGTCCAAAGCGAAAACCGGCGATCAGAGCCGGAGCCGGTTTGAGAGGCACCGTCGTCACGTCCATCTGGGTTCTTTTCTTCTCAACTTGTACTCTACTTGGATCAACATGGTTAGCATCAATCTACTACGTAATACTGAGGAACTTAGGGGGTAAATATAATATGTATTTTGGAGTGTTTTATAGGGCAGCTTGTATGGCATTGCTAGCAAAATATTTGGAATGGAGCTCTATATGGAACATGGCAATTGTGATTTCAGTACTGGAGGATAAACATGGAGCCAATGCATTGATGCTCTCAGCTTCTCTAATCAGAGGTAGCGAGCGGCGACGGTGTCAAGGACTTGTTATTTCACTCGTCTGCTCTGTTTTCGGACTCGTTTTAAGAGGGTCGTGCTGGTTTTTCGCATGCTGTGGAAGGAGGAACGGAGTTGTTGCTCATGCGGGAGTTTTCTGCATCTTGAATGTGATGAAGTGGGTTGTCTTCGTGGTTTACTTCAACAGCTGCAAAAGGCAGAGCTTGTGGAGGAAAGGAGGCGGTAAAGCCTTCGGAGACAATGGTTGGAATGCCAAAACGGCGTATGAGGTTTGTGTTCCGCCAGACGACGGACTTGATGTCCGGACCTGTTGAAAAGTCACGCATTTGCAGGAAAATATGATCTAATTTAAGATTAAATGGAGGCAAAAACAAGATTTCATATATATAACCATCTCTGTAACTAGTCATTAGGAAAGACGATCTTCGAAAACACTGTTGATATCACTACTGCAGCTCCAATAATCCCAATTGGGAACAGCAATTCATATATCAAATTATTCCATGGTCCATTGCTCTGGATTAAACTAGTTCAACTACGCTTAAGCAGGTGCTCGGCAACAACAAATCTGCTTGTTGGATGCTACTGAAAGTGTTCCTCACTTTGCTTTTGCGTCAATCACCTTCTTCGCAAAAGAAGGTTAGTACCTTTCTATCATAATTCTTTCACTTTATTTTTTATTAGTTGAATGCTTTGAACACAATTCTGCACTAGTGTATTTCTTTCTAGTTACATAGTTTATCGGTATGCATGTTTTTAATGGCTTCGTCACCCTCGGGTGTCGGCCAGCACGTGTCTGCCCTGATATTTGGGGATATCGGGTTTGGAGCGTGTCAGAATATACATATGAGGATAGTTAATTTCATCTCTCTTGTTATGTGATTAAGTAGCGTATAAGGGTTACAAAAACAAAAAAATATACAACCGGAGATAGCTAAGGACCTGTTTGGTATCCTATTACAAAAATTTCGTCATTTCTGAAAGCACTTTTTAAGAACATCTATTGAAACAACTTCAAAAACTTGTTTGGTATGAAATTTAAAATGATTTCAAATCTTAAACCTTAAACTGTAAAAAAGATCCAAAGATAAGGAGTCGGAGGAGAGGGAGAAAGAGGAGACAGGAGAGAAAGAAAAAAAGAAGAAGAGAGGATCAGAGGAGAGAAATAGGAGATAGAGAGGAGGAAAGAGAATGAAGAGGGAAGATCAAAGGAGGGAGAGACAAAGTGGAGAGAGAAAGAAGAAAAAAAGAGATATAGATATCCATAGTGAGAAGGAAGGAGAAAAAAAAAAGAGTGAGCTTTAAGTTTAAAAACTCTAAAAATTTGCTTTTGGTGTTAAAAAAAAAACTATTTTCTTAAGTTAGACTTGAGTTCAGTTTTTAAAAATATTCATAACTAACAAGTTTTTAAAGCCTAAAACTTGAAAGATGTTTTTCAATTTAAAAAACTGAATTCAAATAGAGTACCAAACATAATTTAAAAATCTCATTCTGATTTGGGACCATTTACTTTGGATCAAAGATACATGAAAGGAAAATGAATGGTAGCCAGGTTGAGTGTGTCAACAAACCATATTGAATTTAGGGGGGCACCCTTGTCACATTCATCTTGGTCATTTTCTTATCAACAATTTTTGTATAATACTTGGACTAATATCTAAGTATCAATCTTCTACTTGGGAATAATGTGTTGTGATACTGTTGATCCTAAAAACTATCAAGCCTACATGGCATGCATGCCGAGTAATTAATAAGCTAACTACGTCATTCAGTTGTGTGCTGGGCGTGCCAACTTATTGACCAAGCTTGGCCGGGGAGTAAAATGTGTTGATGTTGCATTGAGCGCGCTGCTGACTTCTTGATCTCGCAATTGCGACTAAGGAAGGAACACGTCTAGGCCTTCGGGTTCTAGAGCCTGGAGACAAGGCTACTAGATTTGTGAAGTTCAATATCAAATTCGATTTTCAATGTGCCGAATGTAGTAACCTAGTAACACCTCACTTCACCGAGAAGGTTGATGAGATGACCTCTACCACAAGAACTCAAAAATTCTTGTACCGAGACTTGGATAGGTAATCAATCGGCCGAGAAACAATGTTGTTTATCCAAACTAAAGATGCTCCTTAATTGGCTGACTCTACGGTTCCATTGTTGTTTATCCAAACTGAAGATGTCGCCAGTTGCCTTTACAGTGTTGTTTATCCAAACTGAAGATGTGTCGGCGGGAAGAAGAAAATAAAAATCTCAAGATTGTTGAGAGGTTTCGCGTAGAGCGAGAGTTTGTGCATGGCAGTTTGTGTGTTGAATTGGAAGGGCTTTCCCGTTGCCACTGCCTTTGTATTTATAGGTTTCATTTTTTGCCTAGCACGGCCTAGTAACTTTGTAAAGTTCAATCGGGATTTTACCACCTTCTCCACATAATATGCGACATCAAAATCCCAAATCCCTGATGTAGACCACATGCATTTGTGATAATGGCCCCAAGAAACAATTCTGATATTTGATGGTATCGTACCATGCATAGGACAATACTTGGGTACTCACTGGCAAGTACCCAATTTACTGACTTCATAATGTGGGCCAATGAGGATAGGCCAACCTGTCTTATCTAAAACCATCCCAAACATTGGTTATCTTTGTAACCAAACATCAATCATCTCCCTCACCCTCAAGCTTTGTTTTCTCCGTGCACCCCAACAACAACCCCATCAAAAAGGACTGGAGTGGGATCAATGTCAATGAGGACTAGGTGGGACATCGTCAAAGAGACGGTTGATGTTGGACTCACCGACAAATAGAATGGTTGGGGTAGTTGAGGTCGTCGAATGAGATATGGGTGGAGTTAGGGTTGCTGGTAGGGTTGGGTTCGGTTCAAATCGGTTCCGTTTTTGCCGAAACCAAACCAAAATTTCGGTTCAGTTCTTTTTTTTCGGTTTTTTTTTTTTCAAAAATTGAAATTTAAAATTTTAACATCTCCAACACAATCATAACATAAGTTAAACTTGACAAATGCATAAAGATGTAGCTACTCTCCTTAACATCACCAATTTTACCTCTAGAAACTTCAAAGTGTGTAGCAACTTAAACATTTGACTGTTAAATGTGCTTCAACCATTAAAACAATGAATATTGTGGTGAACTGAGGAATCTAGTTGGTGTCCTAGGTTTTATGGAGTTCACGCTTGCGCTGTGAGGATCCAAATTGTTGTAAAATCTTGTGTGTTCCACTGGATATTCCTTTGGAAGTAAAATAAGATCACACAGAACAGTGAATAAATTTAAAGGAAAGTTTAAAGCAACTGGTCCATGAGAATAAAATTGCTTGAATATTGGCAAAATCACTTGAATAAACTAGGGTGAAAGAAAAGAAGGGGGAAAAAATAATAGGTTAGGGTTTAGAGTTTCTAAAGGTTTTTTTTTTAATATTTTTGGCTTAAAGTTTGGCAACACATTGGGCTTACAACTTGGGTTTAGAAAATAATACCCAAAACATGTAATTAAATAAATAATAATAATTTAATTAATTTGGTTTGGTTCAGTTCGGTTTCCAGACCACCGAAACTAAACTGAACCAAAAGAATTTGGTTCAGTTCGGTTTTTTCAATTTGGTTCGGTTCTTTCGATTTCGGTTTGGTTTGGTTTTTTATTTTTTTCGGTTTTCGATTTTTTGAACCCACCCCTAGTTGTTGGGGAAGTAAGGGATTTGAGCGAGCTCGCCGATGAAGAAAAGGTTTGGGGGTGGGCTCGCTTGAGAAGAAAGGGATTGGGGTGGGCTCATCAGAGAACTAAGGGATTTAAAGTTGGTCTCGCCAGAGAAGATAGGTGTTGGTCTCACCGAGGAGCAGAGAGGCGAAATTGCCGGAGAAGAGAGTGGGTTGTCTGCACGGCAAGAAGGGAGGAATGAGATGGTGCTTGTTTGGTTACGAAAATAGGAAGAGTTTGGGGTGAAATTCATTTGACATGTGTTAAATTTGTATTGGGCCATGTAGGATAGTCAGTAAGTTGAGTATTCTCCAGTGAGTACCCAATTATTGTCCCCATGCATATCCTTCCCTCATTGCTACGTGCTTTATTGGAGGACTTATCCATCTGTTTGTGTAAAACTTTATTAGCCTATTGTCCTCCTTCCTTATCTTTTGCATAGCACCAATCTAATCCAAAGATTGGTTTTAATATTTAAATGCCTAAATCGCAGTTTATGTGGATCTCTATAGTCCAAATTCCCATGCAACAATCACATTCCAATTTGCATCATTATCTTGACTTCATCATCATCCCAAAACCATACATCATGCACCATGCTGCTCCAATCTAATAACAAGAACCCCAAGTCCATTTGAATTGTACTGCTTGCTTGGAAATATAATTTGCATCTTATCTATCCTATTTAAGAATATGCCAAGACAATTCATATTAAAAGATAATTATTATGATAAAAACCATAATATTATCATTTAATAACAAAATTATCTTGATTTTTCCATCCGACGATTGAAAGTTATGCTCACTCAATAATCTTGATTGCACATGCCGATGATGTAATTTTGGGTCCAAACAGATACCCATGGGTCTAAATTTCAAGAAAAACTTGTGCATGATTTTGTTTGTCAATAAACCTTTTTGAATGGCACTACAATCTTTGCCACACAATAAATCTTAAATATAATCTTTTATTTATTATCTTTATATTTAAACTCATAACTTTCTCTTCAAGGAAAATATAAAAGGTGAAAACGGCATTAGAGGATATTGATTGCAGATATAGAAAGCGAAAACAACAGTAAAGGATACAATTAGTTGCTGTGTCACTAGAGTGCATTTAATTTTGAATTTTGGTGAACTTGTGTCACATTCATCTTGGTCTTTTCTTATCAACTTGTCTAGACCTTGGATTATGATTTTTTAGTTTTTTTTTTTTTTTTTTTTTTTTTTTTTTTGAGAAACAGACAAATAGATACTTTTAATAAAAATAAATAAAATTGGGAGACACTAAAAATCATAAGAGAATGCCTTATGATCTTCTGTTATCGCACATTTGAATGAGAGGATGTAATAAGAAGTGACAACTTAAGTGAGGCAGTTTATATTTCTGTAATGATCATCTAGTGCATTTAAGATCCTGTTGCCTAATGTTTTGCAGTTCATTCTAAAAATTGAATACATAATTTTTTTTATTTTTAAACTCTCTCTCAGAGAAGTTTAGAATTAACGACTATTTACATAGAATAAACTTGGAAATTGGAGGTTCCAAATTCCAACTTTTTTTTTTTCAAGCGAAAATTCTAAATTTATATGTTTATGAACATGTCAAGTTATAAATTCTGACTTTTGTTAAAATTTCAAGTTTATTTCTCTCATCCAAACATATTACGAGCGGCAAGTGCTTATGTTTTCACTTTGTAAATCTATCCTCACGTGTAGAGTGAGGGACTAAAACTTCAATTTTAAAAAGAAGAAGACTCAACTTAAAAGAAAAATATGGTCCCAAACGGGAGGGAAGGACTTTTTTTAAGAGAATTTTAACGAAACATTTTCAGTACTGTTCACTTTTAACGAAAATAACATCTTTACTTTAAAAAGTCACTCCTGATACTATTCACTTACAACACTTTTTTGTCATTTTGATTAAAATTCAAAGTTTTCAAGCTCTTTTCATTAGTTTTTCTCTTTTTTAAAGGGTTGTGTGTTTCTTGTGATCACGTGGGTTGTACACGTGATTTGGTAACGCAACTGCAAAATGTGGGATTTAATGAGCTGAAAAGATACAGCCTAATGATATTTCTCTTTACTTGTAATTAAGAAGTTTTAAGTTTGAATATCGTGAATTGCGAGATCACAATTAATTTAGTCTCCCATATATTGTATTAACATTTTTGCTGCAACTTTTTAGTTCATTTGGAAGTGGAGCTTCAAGATCTGTATTTTCATCACGAGTTTCAGATTCCACATTAGCACATTGGGCCTCCTTAGTCCAGAATGCTTTGGAAACAATTGGGCTACCATATTTTTTACTTTGGGCTTTATCATAATACCTGTTTTCTTTTGGGCTCAAATATGAAGAAGTCGGGCAACAAATGACCAAATAATAAAGCCATGTTAAAGATGTGATGTACCAACCACTCAGGATTACGATTCAATAGTATTTCTCTTCAGTTACAAGTGAGAGATTTTAATATAAATATATTAATATATTTAAAAATGTGATGCACCATTCTGGTTAGTATTTTTTGAACAAACGATATTATTTAAACTCGGTGTGGGCTAAGTCTCACAATAGGTAAGCAATAATAATGTAGTTCAAATTCACCTTTGACAAAAATCAAACCTAAGACCTCTCACTTCCAAGTGAAGAGAAATACCACTAAATCTTAGTACTAAGTGGAACCATTCTGATTAGTTAAACCTAACAATTACTCCCCTAAGAGAACTTTTAACGATTAAGGGCTCGTTCGGGGCTTTTTCTGTCGAAAAAAACTATGCTCATAAGTTCATAAAAGTGTTTTTTAAGAAGCATATTGAAACCCTTATTGGGTGTCGTCAAATTATGATTTAGAAGGATTTTAAGAGATTTTTAGAACCATGGTAGGTGTAGTCAACTAGGATTGCAAAGGAGGATTTTAAAAGACTTTGAAATCATGGTGCAATCAATGCATCGAAATCTAAGTGTAGTTGACTAGAATTCTAAAAGACTTTTAAAGAGTTCATACAAATCTATAGATATTCAAAAAGTCATATATTTTGAAGGACTTCATTGAATAAGAGATTTTATAGGATTTCAGAATATTGATATGCATAAAAAAAAAAAAAAGGCTATAAAGAATCCCACCTCCACCCGTAGGATTTCAAGATTTCCTTTCATTTAAGGAAACTTTAACGAAATAGTCCTTATACTGTTCATTTTAACGAAAAACCACATTTTGAAATTAAAAAACCAACGTTCTTGGTTGGCCCTCCCTTTCAAGAGATGATGCATCAGTAAAAGTCTTGTGACATCACCCTCATTCCTTTGCTCCTCAATTCTTATATACCAATCGTCATGCTGCTCCAAAAGAGCTTTGTAAGGTCCACGTTAAATTTCAAGTGCTTCCTAAGTAAACCTTTGTATTTGCTTTCACTTATGGTCTAAAAAAACGGTTTCTCAATAATTTTTCCTTCGTTTTTCTGACAATGTTAAGTCAAATGTCAACGGGTGGAAGCTGAAACCTCGTTACCCACAGGTATAGTATCATTGTCAAATACCAACCAAGCCAATGACTTGATGCCCACTGTGTTGAAGCCAAACCAAGTCTTCTCAATCCATTGTGATTGACTTGCTCAATAAATCTTTTTAGATGAGAAGTGCTTTCCGTAAATTCCATTTTTAATCATGCACACTTGTTTATTTCCGGCATTTGGATTGAAAACAAATACGCTTGGACGGAAATCACTTCCTCTTCATATAATTAAGGAAGCATCCCCTGCATAATTTGTAGCTGGTGATGGTTGTTGATATGGAAAGCAACCATATCATGGTGAAGCAAAAGTTAGGGTTCTTTGACATACTGAAACAACCTCTAATCTTAACCTACAAGAATACCCACTTTATTCTGCTCACCTCTCTCACCTCTCTCCCTCTCTTCTGCTTCTTACTCTACTATGAACTATTGCTCCAGAAAACCCTGGTCCGAATCTCGGAATTCGTACACCATCAACACCCCGATTCCTTCGGGTACCATTGGCAAACACTGCTCCATACAGCCACAAGAACGATCGTTATATTTTCCAACAGCTTGATCCAACTGGGAATTCTCTACCTTGTGCCTTTTCGTCTCCTAGAGCTTTGCTCCGTTTATGTCACCGTTGATTTGGCATCAAAGATCCATCGTCCAGAACGAAAACCGGCAATCAAAGCCGGTTTGAGAGGCACCGTCGTCACGTCCATCTGGGTTCTTTTCTTCTCAACTTGTACTCTACTTGGATCAACATGGTTAGCATCAATCTACTACGTAATACTGAGGAACTTAGGGGGTAAATATAATATGTATGTTGGAGTGTTTTATAGGGCAGCTTGTATGGCATTGCTAGCAAAATATTTAGAATGGAGCTCTATATGGAACATGGCAATTGTGATTTCAGTACTGGAGGATAAACATGGAGCTAATGCATTGATGCTCTCAGCTTCTCTAATCGGAGGTAGCGAGCGGCGACGGCGTCAAGGACTCGTTATTTCATTCGTTTTCTTTGTTTTCGGACTCGCTTTAAGAGGGTCGTGCTGGTTTTTCACATGCTGTGGAAGGAGGAACGGAGTTGTTGCTCATGCGGGAGTTTTCTGCATCGTGAATGTGATGAAGTGGGTTGTCTTCGTGGTTTACTTCAACAACTGCAAAAGGCAGAGCTTGGGGAGGAAAGGAGGCGATGAAGCTTTCGTAGACAATGGTTTGAGGAATGCCAAAACGGCGTATGAGGTTCGTGTTCCGCCAGACGAAGGACCTGATGTCCGGACCTGTTGAAAAATCACGCATTTGCAGGAAAGTATGATCTAATTTAAGATTAAATGGAGGCAAAAACAAGATTTCATATATATAACCATCTCTGTAACTAGTCATTAGGAAAGACGATCTTCGAAAACACTGTTGATATCACTACTGCAGCTCCAATAATCCCAATTGGGAACAGCAATTCAAATATCAAATTATTCCATGGTCCATTGCTCTGGATTAAACTATTTCAATTACGCATAAGCAGGTGCTCGGCAACAACAAATCTGCTTGTTGGATGCTACTGAAAGTGTTCCTCACTTTGCTTTTGCGTCAATCACCTTCTTCGCAAAAGATGGTAGACAGAAAGCAGCTGTATGAATCTGAAAATGAGAGAGAAAAAAGTTCAATCTGAGAGACATAGGGATCATGTTGACGGAGCTCAACGAAAACAAGAAAAAGCAAAATCACACCTCTGAGTTGTAAAATTTTAAGGGTCGTTTTGATGCATCAATTGAATTCACAGGGTGCTTAAAATCCACAGCAGGTCCCTCGGTAGAACAAAGCATAAAACCAATCACCCCACTGAAACAGAAATGAAAGGCAAAAACAGAAGTAAGATAAGAGCATTTCCAATCGGGTTTAATGACAGACCAGCAAACCAACATAGATAATTAATATTCTACTACATACAGCACAACACAAAGTTGTGATAATGGAAGAAAATTTATAACTGATGGCCTTGTAGGTGATAGAATTATCGCTTTCAGAAAAAACAAACAACAGATTAAGCTAACTCTGGAAAAAATATGGTGGTCTCTAAGTCACATGTTGCACACGTTTGAAACCATTAGCTGTGATACCATACCACCTAGTATATTGCAAAATGAAAAAAAAACCCGCAATTAAACAAGTTATAAACACAAATGTGGTCATGCAGGCACATCCTTGTACACCTGTTTGTGTGTACATGAGAAAGAGAGAGAGAGAGAGAGAGAGAGAGAGAGAGAGAGAGATACCTTGGATATGTAGGGACTGTAGTCCATGCATAGTTGACAGAGCCTTTGAATACCTCACGACAGTTTTCCACAATATCCTCAATGATGTCCATGTGAAGCCATATACTTTCTGCCTGTGTACACACAACTCCTCCTGGACGAAGAGCATTAGCTACTGTCTGGAAAAAGGGCTTCTCAAAAAGTTCTTTCGCAGGACCTGATTGAAGACAAACATTAAAACCAGTAAACTCACAACTCTCATCTTTCTATTGGGAGTGAGATGCACGTAGTTTCTTATTAATACCTATTGGGTCAGAAGAGTCCACTATTACTGCATCATAAGTTCCTGCAGGAACGGCCTTCAAAAACGCAACTCCTACGGTATTAAGAGAAAGTTTATGAGCAAGTCATTTGCAAGAAACGAAATGAAAGGCAAGAAAAATTAGACAGACGAAGAACAAGCTGATCTTACCATCACCAACATGAAGTGAGACCCGTGGGTCATCGTATCCAATAGCTACATCAGGGAAAAACTGTTTAGACACCTGGAATGCAGAAGAATAATAAATCTGTTATCATTTCATCCGATAAAATTCAGGAGTCTCTAGTCCTATTGTGCATATTGACAGACGCTATGTCAAATGAGAACCACATGGTAACATGCATGTTCCAGTCAAAGCAAATTCATTCGAGTAACGAATTGATGTGTAAACAAAATATTCCACTAGCTACTTTGAATAATCGATACATTAAAATTAACAAACAGAACAAGCCCAAAGATATCATCATTATTACTTACATCAACCACCATCTTATCGATCTCACATATATCAATCTTCTCAACTGAAGCATAGCGAGCCACTTCCCGCAGTACCCCACCATCTCCCCCACCAATAACCAAAACCTAAAGAAAACCAATTTGGAAAGATGATTAATAGACAGAACCGATTGCAAACAGAAACAAGGTTCATCAAAGTATTAGACTTCAAAAATGACTCACAATGCTCAAACAACTCACAGTTTATTGTTTAAAAAACAATAGTCAAAGCACAGTTTTATTAAATAGTAGTTCAACAGAATACAACATTAACCTTCTTTGGGTTTGGAATTGAGCAGAGTGGGAGATGAGTGATCATTTCTTGATAGGCACATTCATCCCTTTCAGTTAACTGAATCACCCCATCTAAGACAAGAACCTTTCCATATGTCGCTGACTGTAAACAGAAATCGTGGAATCAATTGAGACAATTAGAAATAGACGTAAATAGAAAAAGTAACACTAACATCTTCTGATAAACGTCAATTACCTGGAAGACCATCACATTCTGATAGTCGGACTTTCCTTGAAACAAAATCTTCTCTATCTTCAAGGAGTGTGCCTCTCCTGCATAATATCATGTATAAATCAATTTCCATACAATATGCCGTCTAGTTCTATAATCAGTCTACCAAACAATGGGAAGATACAATAAACAATCAACAAAACACCGATTAATCCTTGTTCTCATTTGCTAAGCATCCGATTGTTAATCTTATGATTTAAACATCAAGCAATACACACTATAACTTGAACAAACAATTGATGAGAAATTATTCGCTAGAGTTAGAAAGAGTGCAAATTGCAGCATGTGACCATCCTTGCAAGTGACCCATAACCGCTACGCATTGCAACATCAAGCAGTATACCTTGCATTCCAACACTTGATGACATATAAGAAAGCAGGGGAGTGAAATTTATCATATGCTCTATATCCTATAGGCTATAATTCCTGGGTTTGGAATACCATAGACCCCGAATCTAGAACTTCACGAAAAAGGCAATCGAACACAGATTTTCGTGGAACATAAGGCCCAGACGTAGACTAAAACAATGCCGAAAATCGACGTGAAAACCTAATGTGACTTTGGAGAAAGAAACGCTATAATTATCAACACGAACCGAGCACATGAACTAATAAATGTGTTTGAATATCTAACAAAAAACTGAATAATCAATATTACTCTAACCAACCAATAAGTGGTCCATATAAAATGGCATAATCTATTAGTTTCAGCCTAAACTGTTATTCTGTGCAAAAACCCATTTCCAAGATTTCATTAGCAAGCATTAATCCCCAACAGGCATACAAACAACGATTCAGAAAACCCACCAATGGTTTCATAAAATTTATAGCTATAAATACACTATTTGGAAACTTTCCCACAATTTCTGAGCTTCCAAACACAAGTTATTGCCACAAAATAAGTGGGAATGGAAGAGAAAACCAACCTGGCCACATTGGGCTAATCTCAGAAAACCAGCCGGGAATAACAGCGGAGACAGAATCCGGCTCCTTGCCACCGTCAGTCTCCATGGACACGGCTGAAGCAGCAGCTTCCGCGCCGTTCTCTTCTTCCTCCCTGGGCCTCTTCAAGGGCAAATCAGCAGACCCCACCACAATCTCGTCCGCCATAGCCAAACGCACCAAAGGAATGAACCAACGAAACCTAAGGAGGCGATATGAATGAGCGAGCCGCCAGCGAGCGAGTTTCCAAGCGGTTTAAGGACACTCTGAGACAGGGACCACACAGTCTCGGTTCTGGCTGGTTTATATAATGCCACGAATATTAATTTATTCTTTAATAATTATTTATGTTAACTCAGGTTATTAAATTTAATTAAAATATTGTTTGGTAAATTAATCGGGTGCAACACAAAAAGAGTGTGACTTTCAATGTGATTATTACTAGAAACCACGAGCTGGTGGTTCAGTGGTAAATGACAGATTACGAGGTTTTCTTAAAATAAAAAACTTGAGGTTTCGGGTTCGAAATCCGCTGTTGGTGTGAAAGTCAGACTTGTGGCCAGGAGAAGGCTAAAATACCTCTATGAGTCTTCCCGGCCCCAGAAGGGTAAATAACCGTAACTTGCCACCAGTTATCCCATTTTAAAAAAAAAATGATTGCCACTATATGTAGTATTACCGTTTTACTTATATTATAAATGTAAAAATTTATATAAATGATTGAAAGCGGCTCTAAAAGAGATATTATGTAAGACTCGTTTGATATACTTTAGAAATTGCTGAAAACATTTTTGAAAGAAATATTTTTTGAATCAATACTTAATAAAACTCAAGTAAATACTGAAAAAAAATACTTTAATGCTTCTTACAAGAAGCATATAAAACCGATGTTTCTGCAATAAACATTTTAAGTATTTTTAAAATCTATATTATTTTATCTCAACATATTTTCGATCATTTTAAAATCAACTACAAACGAGCCCATAAAGAAAAGTTTTCACAAAAAGAATCGAATTGTTGTGCTTAATAACGACGCGGTTGGCTGTGCGCTTTGCTTTTGCTTTTGCTTTTCTTTCCCACTTTCGGACTTTCTCTATGACTCTGATTATAGTTATTTATTATTTATTCTTTTGTTTTTCTGGAGGTACAATATAAAATGATAAGGTTCTCAATTAGGGTTTTATGAATTCGGCTTTTGTTTTTGTTGGAAAAAACAAATATTCCCCAGAATATGATATCTCTGACGCGCTTGATCTTTGCGCAATAAACGTCCTTCTTTTGTCGGTATTTTACCAATCTTGCCACTAATTTTTTTTTTTTTTTTTTGACTTTTTGTTTTCTGCAATATAAAGTGAAGAAATTATTCGAATAATTGAGGTAGGCGGTGGCTTTTTTTTCTTGGAAATATAGGCGGTGGCTTTGTATGGCTGGTCGCTGTGACTTGGTTGTGTTTTTAGTTATTGGGCGACAGGGCACATTAGGTGTGGGGGCAGCAAGGATTAGGATAGTAGAGTTTTTGTTAATACAACGATATATTACTTGCATTAAGGGTACATACGTAATTGAATCTATAATTTCACTTATAAATAGAGAGTAATACCATTAAACCGTAACATTAAGTAGCATGAATAAACAAAATGTTAAAACATGAAAAATTATAATTGTTATTAATGGACTTTGAACAAAAGACACAAGTGTAAAACAAGAATAAAATATAGTTACCTTATTTGGTGGAAAATTTTATGTGTGCTGATCACACAATCACACGATGTTTGTTATGCTTATATTATAATACGAGTGGACGATAAAGTTGATATGTCATTGATCAAAGATAAAAAAAACCAGCATATCCACATGTTATAACATAAATGAATTGTTATATGGACGCTAAAAAATAACTATCATGCAATTTTTTTTCTAATTTTTTTTTCACTTGAAGAAAAATACAATGATCTAGAGTGTTAATATATACAATAACCAGTCTCTATTTGATTTTGGAAACTACTTAAGTGTGAAATTTGCTGACTAAATGAGAATAATTAAGTTGGAGAAATTGTTTGGCCATTGTGTTTTGAGTAGAAAGTTGAGTGGTGCAGTTTCAGTAAACAAAGTAGAAAAGCAAACCCTACATATCTTTCGGCCACATCATCAATTAACAGTTGAGAAATGTTAAGGCGACTCTGTAAAAAATGGAACTCTTTCATGGATCCTCTGTCATCTCATAATTAAATGTTAATTTTCCACTATAAACATTGTGGTAAAACATGAGTTGAGAGATGAATCCATGGAGAATCTCCTTCACATTTCTCTTAACAGCTTATACGACAAAGATAACGAAACAGGATGAAACGAGACACGAAAAATGAGTGCAAGTGCTATAATTAGACAAAACAAAGTCCATGGACTAAAGTAAGATTTTGTATAAAGTAATGTGTCATAACTAAAAAAAAAACTTTATTTATTTATTTATTGAGAAAATCAATTAATTTTTTCATGTGTAAACCACACGTGTTGAAAATTTATGATTTATTTGGAAGTGCTTTTACAATGATTAGAAGCACTTTTGGTGACCAATTCTTAGTAAAAAGCAAATGAGTCTTGAAAAAACATTTTATTGTTTCATGTAAGAAGCAGATAACTGGCGTTTCTTTCAAAAATAACTTGCTTTTAGAATCCAAAAATGTTTACTCAAAAAACGTTTTCAACCATTTTAAAAACAGTTCTAAACAACCCCGAATTGGTAGTGTACTGTGTACCTAAATTACGCAGATAATGATAGCTTCTGGATCGAGATCGATCAGCCTCAGATGGCAATGATGCGTGTGATGTGAACACATTGTTGGGTATTGATAACATGCGGGCGATTGCTTTCACTGTTATCTGGTCTGTCATATGTATGCAATATGCATGCAGCCATGCACGCAGGATTGGGATATATATATATATATATATCAAATTTGGGTCCGATAGCCAATTCCACTGAAAATTGAAATCATTTCCGCAAAATCTCAGGTGCCCTAGGCCTAATGCGCTGCAATTTTGAGCCGTTAGATCAATCTTAACGGTGAATATTTTAAACAAACTCTCTCAGATGATCAGATCACCATCTCTTTTCCTTCTCTCTGTGAAATAACCCAGCCCTCCCCTCCCTCTCTCTCCTTCTTTCTCCCGGTGGCGACCGTCTCCTCTCCAGGGTCGTCTCTGAGATTTCGAGGGCTCTATGCGAAATTTATAAAATAGCCAATTTTTAAGATAGTTTTTATTTTTTTTAAAGTAGGACAATATATTGGTACTATAAAATAATAACTTAAATCAAAACAACCTTTAGGACTCATTGATGGTAAGTTTACAAATGTTATTAAATAAGTAAAAAGAGTTACAAACATAACCTTCACTAAATAATAAAAAACAGTTCAATCTTAAGCAACCAAATAAAGAAAAAAAAAGCTTCAAAAACTCTAACTTTAAAGTTTCACTTGAATATATAACATTATTATATAATAAAACTGAAAAGAAAATCGTTTTTTAAGGTGTTGTTATTGGCACTCCTACTATCTCATTGTGCACTTCAAATTTTTATATTTAGAAAGAAAAAAATTACTTATAAAAAGTACACTATAAGATTTTAAAGTACTAATAAAAGTATATTTTTAATATATAACATTATTACATATAAATATAAGATACCAAAATTTTTTTGGAGGCCCTTCAAATTTAGAGACCCTGTGCAATTGCACATTTCGCTCCCCCTCAACACCACCTCGGCTTCCTCCTATTCTTTCTCTTAGTCCATCACGACGGATCTGCCATCGAGGATCACATCTGCTACCAAGGAGTTTCTTTCTCTTGTTTGATGTACAAATCCAAGAGATTTTAATTTTTGGTTGAATTAGATTTATAATTGCTTTTGGGACGTGGTGCCTGAACAAAATGGGATAATCATTTGTTAACAATTTTTTCTTCTTTTGGTTAATTTTTCTTATTCTGGTGGAATCCTAAGTTTTAAAATTTTTCCTTTTGATTCCTCTCTCACCCTTTAGAGATAACTGTAAAAGAAAACATAGTTAGATACAATTTAATTTTAGATAATTCCTACAATTTAGCAATGATTACCTACAATTAAAATATTTTTGTTCTCAAAAACGGTTATAAGTATTTTTAAAACCAACGTACCAATATAAAATTTATTTTAATATATTAAGAGAAAATAGGATGGACAACAATATTGATATGTTTCAACAATATTGATATGTTTCAAATTAAACGTACCAACCAATGATTTTTATAAAAGCAAATCCAACATTTGGAAGAAAAAACAAACTGTTTGAAAACAAAAAATTTAATATTTTTAGGACAAAAAATTTATATTGATCATAAAAAAATTTTTGGAAAAAAAGATAATAGATTAATAGAGTTAATAACTAATATCCCCACCAAATTAAAATAATAATAATAATAAAAGCTTGAAAACTTTGAGTTTTAACGATAAGGACAAAATAATGAGTAAAGTGAATGATAGCAGGATTGACTTTTTTTGTGTAAAAATATGGTTTTTCGTTAAGTGAATAGTAATGGAAGCTTTTTGTTAAAGTTTCTTAAAAAAATGCATCAAACAATTAAAATGATAAATTTAGAAATTAATAATTAGCAATTTAATTTAAAAAAACAATAGTAATATATGTAAGTAAATACAAAAAATACTGAGTTGGCTATTGGTCACAGCAGTTAAATTAGATCATGAAAATTCACAAAGTTTAGTCGAAAAGATATGAAAATTGTAAAAAATTCTAATTTTCTCCTTATTTTTCATGAAGTATTATGAACTGAGAAGTTTTATACCCAAGGGACTGATATAGAGAAATTTCACTATTTTATTTTGTCTTTTTATTTTGTCTTAGTAGGCAGTGACATGTGCTTTGTCCCCAAAAAAACAAGCACCGACATGTGCGTATTGCCACGGCAAGTAGGTAAACGTAACACGCTTAGGCACTTTTCACATTGATCAGTGCCCAGTTTGCATTGTATCTGACACCTATACAACAAAATGTCAAATACTTTCTATTAGAATTATCTTCCTTCCTCTTTTCATCATCTTTCATCCCCTCATTTTTCATTTTTCATGTTAATAAAGATGGAAGAGGATTCTCTCCTGAGCTCATAATGGGGATCCTCCTAAATAGCTCATCTATGCTGTTCAAATTTAATTCAACGACTCTAAACAGGAATCCTCTAAAAGTTATAATAATTGCAACCGTTGGATTAAATTTGAACGGCCCAAATGGGCTGGTAAGGAGAATATCCATCCTGAGCTCAAGAGAGGGTCTCTTCCAATAAAGATAAGGTACTGATGTCAATCACGTTACACTTTTAGGCATGGATTTGTACTAATCTGTCCCCTCTAGAATTTTGACAAGACTGTTTTTTAGTCGATTGAAAGTATTTTTAATATGACGGAAAGTGTTTTGAAAAGACTGTTTTTGAGTTGATTGAAAGTATTTTTAATATGATGGAAAGTGTTTTGTAAAAATGCTTTAGAAATTAATTTTTAAAATTCAAATAGATTTTGTAAAAGCACTTGAAGTGCTTTCCGCAAGAAGCACATATCTGATGCTTCAAAAATCAATTTCACCAAAAATATTTTAAGTACACTTTTAAATGAGTCGTTTATATATGTCTCTAATTAAATGGTCTCTTTTAGAGCCATTTTCTAGTAGAGTAAGATGAACAAACAAAATTTGGATGAAATAGCTCAGTGGGTTGGCATAAGATGGATTAAGTTGAAATTTTAAGAGAGTTAGATCATGTGTTTATGGATCTCTCTTATTTTTTGGTAAAAGTTTCTGAAACCGATCACACCACTTGGTTCTTCTTTTCTAGTATCCCTATTTCTGAATTATGGTTTTTCTAAATAGTAGTTCAACAGCGGCTTTTGGCTTTTTCTCAGTCACTCACCGTATCGGTGTATGGTCCTAACTTGCTTTTTTGAGGAGGAGAGTATGTTATAGGTGTGTGTTATCCACACATTTTTTTTTACTTCTCACACACTTTTTATTAATTTATGTCTGTTGATTTTCTTCAATTCATTCGATCCAATGACCGAAAACCAAAAATGTGTAGGAGAAGTAAAAAGGGGTGTGTGGATATCACACCCCTATGTTGTAATATGACTCTCTGCCTTCCTTTTCCTTCCTTTCTCTCTTACTTTTTTTCTTTGTATTTTCATCTTTATAATGAAGTTAGTACAAAGACGACGTAATTTAATTATGACCATTTAAATAAGAAGAGAGGAAGGGAAGGAGGAACTCAGATCCTCTCTGGATCTAATGATCCTGAGACTAAGGATCAAATGATCAGGACCGTTGAAATTTGATCCAACGGCTACAATTATTATAATTTTTAAGGAAGCCCCCTGTTTGTAGCCGTTAGATCAAATTTCAACGGTCCGATCATTTGATCCTTAGGCTCAAGATCATTAGATCCAGAGATGATCTAAGTTCGGGAAGGAGAACTTAGAAGAGAGAAAATCATACTAACTTAATCATGACCATTCAAATAAGAATAGAGGAAAGGAAGGAGAACTTAAAAGGGAGAAAATCATACTCTAGTATGTTAACTACAAAACTATCATGTAATTTGTCACATTATTTGGTGATTCAAATTTGTTAAATAGGCATACGCGAGTTTGGCTAATTAGTCAAGACACAATGTGTCAGTTCCCTTGCACTTAAGTTGAAATTTTTCTATTATGTAAATTAGAGTAATTCAGAATATCACCGGCTAATAAGAAGATGCAAATGATCATAAATGACTAGCTTCTTGTACTTTTCTTTAATTTTGTGCTAATGTTATTTTTTTTTCTGACTGGATTTTTGACATGTAACTTTACCCTGGTATAGTTTTCACTCATTTACTTGATCGTACTTTTACCAGGGAGGTCTTCTGAGGTTAGAGGAATTGGTAAATGTAGCACCGATGCTTCCATGGAGGCACCCATCACTCCATCCGTCAACGTAGATTATACTCAGCTTCTAATTAATGGACAATTTGGAGATTCTGCATCAACATTGGAGTAATCAGCATGTTTTCAAGCATTCATATCATTTTCCGGTTCCTTCGCGTGACGCTTTGATTTGGTCTCAGGGAAAACTATTCCCACATTGGAAACCCAGACCGGGGACGTGATTGCTCACGCTGCTGAAGGCGATGCTGAAGATGTAAACCGCGCAGTTTCTGCTGCCCCCAAGGCCTTTGATGAAGGACCGTGGCCAAAGATGACAGCTTATGTAACTACTCATTTTACGAGAGTTTTATTCAAATTTTCTAATATAACATCTTTTCGCAGGAAAGATCACGCGTCCTTTTCCGCTTCGCTGATTTGAATGGATAGCACAGTGATGAAATTGCCGCCCTTGAGTTGAGACTTGGGATAATGGGAAGCCATTTGAACAGGCTGCTGAAATTGAAGCAAAAATGCTTTCTTTTCGTTACCATGCTGGTATGGACGTTTTTTACGACACAACTACACCTTATGCTTTAGCATGCGGCAACACCATTTTCCTGTGTACTTTCTTCAATGTGGTCTTATTTGGTCAATTTCAAAATTTTAGACGATTTTAATCTGTTCTTTACATATCCCTTATTTAGGCTCAAGCGTAACTTCTCTGAACTCATGAGGAACAAATGTTGCTTGAGGCTGCAACGAATTCGAGTAATAGTGGTTGGGCTGCTAGTGTTCCAGTTTGCACCAAATTTTCATATGAATGCAATTTTTCTGCTAAAAAGTTATCGTTGATCCCTCCACAGGTTGCGTTTACTGGATCAACTGACACTGGTAAAAAAATTACTTGAATTGGCTGCCAAAGGCAATCTTAAGACGGTAACTGGAGCTCGGCGGGAGATCCCAGATTATTGTACGTGAGGATGCTGATGCTTCGAAGAAAAAGTTTGATTCTAAGAGGCAAAGCAATACATTTGCTGATTACATGACACCTCTGTTTGTAGGGTCAATGCTGCTGCGCTGGTTCTCGTACTTTTGTACATGAAAAAGTATATGACGAGTTCATAGAGAAAGCAAAGGCTCATGCTGAGAGACGCGTTGTTGGAGACCCGTCCGAGGGGGGCGTTGAGCAAGGTCCTCAGGTAGACAAGTGACAGCTCTAACTCAGACCATTAAACACGTTGCTGTCCAAAATTGTTCCACAGCCTCACATGCATTTCCGGTTTTGTATTCTAATCATACCGATTCAGACCAATTGGAGAAGATCCCAAAGTACGTAGATTATGGTGTTAAAGGTGGAGCTAAAATGGAAGCGGAGGAGAGAGGCTTGGCACAAAGGGTATCCATATTAAGCCCACTGTATTATCAGATGTTCAGGTACTAATCAACATAAAAACCATAATATTTACCGGAACATGATTATGATTGATCTAAACATTGTTGTCTCATGGGGTTGGATGACATGCCAATAGCTCGTGAGTAGATATTTGGTTCGGTGCATATCATCTTGAAATAAAAAGTGAGCAATTAAATTCTCTTCTCTATGCCTGTTGTGATTACAGAGTCCTGTGCTTCACTTAGAAGTTAGAACTAACGTTTCAGCTGATTGCAGGGATCTTAATGAGGTGATACGAAGGGAAAAAATAACTCTCACTATGGAAAATAACTCTCGTTATGGACTTGCTGCAGGGGTCTTTACACAAAACATACACTGAAACATATTGACTTGCGCAGTGCGTTGGCAGTGTATTTATAAACTGCTTCGATGTCGTTGATGCTCTATTCCTTTCGGAGGGTACAAGATGAGTGGAATTGGAAGAGAAAAGGGCATTTACGGTCTTTCCAATTACTTGCAAGTCAAGGCTGTTGTCACTGCCAAAAATAAATTGAGAGTACTGCATCAGAATATGTGGCTGTGATCTCATGATGGCATTGGGGTGGTGATGATAAAATCTTTGCTTCTTTGTGATGAACTATAGAAATTTTTCTGTTGAATTTACTGTTGGTTAAGTTAATCAGTAGGTTAGTGGTTGGTCTAATATGACAATCAACTTTCTGTGGTTTGTTGAGGCATCACTTTCTCCTTTTCCAATCACATTTTACAGCTCAAGGTACATGAATTTTGTGTCTTACACTATTTGTCATTAATAGTAGGTTGGTTAGGTTCTGATAATTATGATTCGCTGATCGAACCAGATGCCAATTAAACCCCAAACGTTTTACCGTTTCATTGTATCACAAAGTTAACAAGTTACAGAGATACTGGCAACCAATTCACTGTTTATTAGTTAGGTATTGTCCATATAATGCCAGATTTGGCTCGTGGCTTGTTTACTAAATAGATGGCAGGGAATATATTTCCACTTTTCTGGATCTGAACATGACATGAAGTGGTAGAAGCCCGCCTTGTATCTTTGCCCCCCATGACCCACTGCTATACCACAAAGATGAATCCCCCATTGAATCAAGCAGACGCGGGTTGCGTGCTCGCTCTCTTGCACACAAGTTCAAGTCTCCTTTCCCAACTTTAGACATCACATTGTAAGAGAAAACAAGTAACATCGACCAAATGGGGCCATTCACAGTATTAAAATATGCCAAGGTTTTGCCAAAACATCTGTGTTGGCTGATTGGTCCCGAAAAAGCTTCAATTGTAGTTGTCAATTTGTATTTTTTTGTTCATATCATCGATAGTAAACATATTCTAAGGAATAGGGAGTGGATCACGCAGAAACAGAGATAAAGGAAAGATAGCGACTATACATAGAGCCATTGAAGAATCGAAAATAGAGTTGTGCTGGTGCCACACACTAAAACGAAAAATTGAGCAATTCTAACATCAGTCAGTTGCGCGTGATGCTAGCAAAACTCATAGAAAACAATTAATGAACTTGATAGAGAGGTGAACACCTTGAATATGGAATTGTATAATAGTGGAATTGTTTACAGTATAATCAGCAAGATAAATTAATAGTGTTTCAAAAATAATTATTTGCACTCTGGTGGCATAACTTTAAACCTTTTTGTATCTTTACAGTAAGAGTAAAACATGAGTTTACTTCTTGCCCAATCCATTGCGCCACTTTGTTGGCTAGACAACTTAACAAACTCCGGCCCCTCGACGGGGTCCACGCTCGAGGGATTGCTCCGAGCACACGACGTCACTGTTCCGGTGGGATTGGATATGCAGCCACTCATCTCCATCTCTGCAAACGAAACCCTAAATGGTGCATACTTATAGTTAACTGGATATTTTCCTCCATGAGTTGCCCACTCTGATGCATCCCATATTGTTGCGTAAACTGACATGGGTTTTGATGGGAAAAATGAACTGCTGTGCTGAAACTCCCTCACTGGGACGTTGTCCACTAGAAACCTGCAAATGTTTTCATGGGAAATTTAGAGTATTGGGCAATTTCAAACGTCCGGTAGAGAAGAACTTTCATGCACCTTGAGATGTGGTGGTGGTATGTATCCTAAGCGAACCACAGACTGTCATGCGGTTAAGCTAAAAGACATGACAATGCGTGATTGACTTTGGGATACTACCACCGTGACACCCCAAGTGTAGGTAAGTTCTGTCTCGTAAGTTGCAAGGGATTCTGGGTTTCTTACACTGTATGATGGTTGTTCCAGATGATGCTGTACTGATGGTGCTGTAGTGTTGGGTCAAACCAGAGATAGAATTTCTCCTCTCTTCCTGTGTTTACGCTTCCATTTGCATATATATTTGTTTGGATGACCCAATCATTTCTTTTATCGTGGCCCAAGAGTTCTATGTCTATCTCATCATGATTGTGAGGGAACACATCTGCATTAGACAGCTGCAAAAATTCCATGCATTCAATTTGTTATCTCACTTAATTAAGCAAAGCTAGATGTCAAGCATGGTCGTGACAACATATATGTATATATTCAAAATTTTAACGTCTTATTTATTTACTAACTGGTTAGCTCTTGAGTTATACTGCGTGTGTGTATTTATGATATATGACCAATGAACTTACATAGAAAGCCACTACAACCCCAGAAGTGAGACCAGCAGGCAGCTTGATAGCAGCACTGAAGAATCCATAGTGAAATTTGTTTACCGATGCCAATCCAGATCCTGCGTGTTGAATCAAAAACAAAAGAGAACCGATGACATTTAATAAAGTTTTTGGAGCATTTATCAGAGTTAAAAATTTACAAGTATCAATCATTTTGAAGGACTTCACCTGAGTTTTTGTCAAGAGCAAGAGTGGCCATGGATCCATTGATGACCTGAATATTTGAGCCTCCAAAAACTTTGGAAAACCCTCTATCAATCGAGACACGGGGAAAAACGTCGGTTAAACGAGGAACGCTAGGACTCGTGTAGCGCCTGTCGGAGGAAACCAACAAAGACATACAACACAAGATCAAAACACACCAGAAGTGTATTTTTCCTTGGAAGAATGCCATTGTTTATTAGATGCAGTAGATGAACAAAAATGCTTCCAAGTTTATGGTATTTATTGGGAGGTTTTAGGGAGGTTCATAATCTTTGCTTAGTTGTGTATTAGCTGGATGGCTATATCTTTCCTAGTATGATAAAATCAATTTTATTATGTTTTAAATTTAGCACCTTTTAGACAGAATCAGGGAGCTCATGTGGGGTGAGATTTTGAGAGGTTTGGCAATTTGTCACAGCGTTTGTGGGGCTGCCCTAAAGTCAGGGCATTGCATGATTTGGACATTCACTTCAATGTTTTGATGGGTTTTTTGGCAGCAACGTCCTATGATCAATGCACCATTTTTATTTCTTGATGTGGTCCAGGTGTTCTGGAAGGCAAATGTAGTAGGCCAATCTAAAATGTGCTGGCCTTCACCAAGGTTCTTGGCTAATGGAAACTAGATATTAGCAGAACGCACAGACGTGCAACGATATTATTAAGAATGTATCGTTAACGTAGATGCTGATACGTTTTTCGTATGTTTGATTCATCATGGGACTAATCAATATAGTACTTATTATAGTTGCTTTTGAAATTGAACGGGACTTGGCTGCTGAAGAATCAGCAGAATCTCCAGCTAATCACCAATCACAGCTAAACACGTGTCCAAGTTATGATTGGTGATGAGCAGGGGGTGCTGCTGATTCTTTCAGCAGCCAAGTTCTATCATCTGAAATGTAGTTTTAAATTAACTTTTCCACACCATACAATATTATCAAGCAGCTTAATAAAAACTTTTGAAAAGTTGTCCCAAATAATCAAAACCCCAAATAGCACTAATGTTAATGAGCTAAAACTTGATCTACTAAAATTTCTCGTTTCAACACACCCCTGTTTAATCTTAATTGTTGATTCTGTTTGATTTATTTAAAGAAAAACTAATGAAAATAGCTTAAAAACTTTAAATTTTAACGATAAGGCCAAAATAAAGAGTAAAGTGAATAGTACCAGAATTGGCTTCTTAGTGTAAAAATGTGATTTTTTGTTAAAGTGAACAATACCGAGAGGTTTTCATTAAAGATCTCTTTATTTAATTCAATGGTTAAAAATAAAGAAGAAGTATGGGAAACTGAAAAGATAAAAAATAAAGAAGGGATGAATGCAAAATGATAGAAAAAGTATAGGGTGACCTAAAATTGTCTGAGGGTCGTTCACAAAATGGCCAGATTTGCCAGAAGTCTATAGCTGGCTCGGAGAGGTGCTTTGAGATGTGACAGATATCAGATAATACCATAATGCAATAAAAAGGACTTGCAAGTTGCCCTTCAAACTTTTATAGGGAGTCACTATTCATCCCTTAAAATTCTGAATTAATCATTTTTTTGTCTCTCAAATTCTGAATAATTGGATTGATGTGATCTGTGAGAAGATAAAATTGTAGGATGTTGAGAGAGCAAAAATCCTTCAAATGAATCAAAATCTAAGCCACGCTGTTGCATAAGATGACGGGCAAGGACAGGATATCAAAATATGTGCCAAATACTGTTCAAGGCTGGGGGCTGCTGCCTGCTGCTAGAAGAAGAAGATGCCAAAGAGTCTGATTTCCTAGTTGCACACCACAAGTTGTTAAAACTTCTATTCTTAGTTTTAATTTGCTCCACACCAGACTAAATTAAATGATACATTTTTCTGGCATGGTTCACTATATATATCGCCGATATCGTTCCAACTTAACTATATATTATCTGGATTGAGATTCTCTTCGGATCTCATACTTCAAAGCTCGCTGACCAAGCAATTTGTACCGTTCAATTTAAATTATGTGATTCCCGTTAGCCCATCTCATTGCCTCACCTCACATATTATCTTAGACTCCAACGCACATATATCTCTCTCTTAAACGGTCCAAATTGCTCGATCTATAGGCTTGAGAATGTGAGATCCGGAGAGGATTTCAATCTCTATTCTCCAACACCAAATCCAACCAAACCAAACCAAAGCGTAAAATACAGAGCAGTTCAGCTTTGTTGACTTCAGGCTACAAGAAAAAAATGGTTGGTTTTACTTCTCCATCACCAAAGTCCAAAGGTGGACAAAGCAAAACAACAAGAAAATATACTAAAATTATAGAGATCTTATCTTTTCATATTCGAAGAAAGAAAAAAAAGTTGGAGTTTGTCTGAGCATGCAATCCATCTACCTAGTATGCTACTACTGGAAATCTCATAGAGAAGTATATATGTTTTACAACTTTGACATGCACACGTCACTTACATGTCCGACGAGAAACATTACCCTTAATGTTATCAAATATTAAAGGCCTAATCGGATAAATAATGCACGTGGTCATAAAGTATTCGAAATGTAGCTTATGTGGTAAAAAAAAATCAGATTTAAACCCTTGTGGTATAAGTCTGTTAGGATTTATACTCAAATTTGAAACTTTCGTCATTCCTCCGTTAGTATCATGCACATGAGTGTCACATGTGTGGATAAGATGGTCATTTCATCCCCCGTTTCATCCCCGTTTCATTATAAACAAATAATTTTTGGGCCCCTCATCCCAATCTCTCTCCTTCAAACTCTCCCTTTTCTCCCAACGCGCCCCAGAAAACACGCACCGGCCAGCCGGAAAATTTTCTGCTCCATTCACCCTAAAATCTCTACCAAAACACATGAAATTTATCTCAAAATGAAGATCACATATCAAAGAATAGAAATATACCCTTTTGACACCAAGTCATGCCCGGATAATGCCTGAGAACGGCCTGAGGTTGACAGCCCGAAACTGGGCTTTTTGGTTTCTCGCGAAATCGAGGCAAATTCAAGTCTCCCATGCTCGAATCCGAACCTCAAGATGAAGGGGAAGTGATCCATGGTCCAAGTCTCGTCCAATCTGACCAGGAATTGACGGATTTTCATCTGAAAACTACGAGGTGGTTTAGGGTTTAGATCATCTATGTTGTTGCACAAAGAAGATGAGAGGTTAGAGAAACTGGGAAGTTGAGCGTTGAGGGAGAAAAGAAGAGAGAGTGACACGGTTGTGGTGGTGGTTTGGTGATGGCCGTTCTCTGGGGCTCGGCGTCTCTGTGAACATAGAGAAGAAAAGATGGCGAGCGTTGGGAGAGAATGGAGAGTTTGAGGGGAAATGACCATATTATCCTCACATGTGACACTCACGTGCATGATACTCACGTGTATAAATCCTAACAGACTTAGACCATAAGGGTTTAAATCCGAATTTTTTTACCACATAGGCTACCTTCCAAATATTTTATGACCACGGAGACTATTTATCTGATTAGACCAATATTAAAACTAGGCCGGGGATCAAGTTAAGTTTGACAATGCATGTCTATTTTATAACATTCACACATGCTACTTAATTTACATATCCGCCAAGAAACAGTATCCGTTAAAATTACACTTCTGTCAGGTGATGTGAATCTAAGTTATATCCCTTTCACACTACGCTAAAGAATGAATTAACTCCAACAAGCGGATATGATTAACAATTTTCACTCATCCAAAGTTTGAGAACATCGAAATTATTATGCCACTCATAACTAATTGGTGTTTTACACTAGTCAATGACTTCAACAACGCTGTAATTATTCTCCCACATCATAAAAAAAAAACCACTAATAAATAATATACTTTGAATTCTCCAGAATTGCTAGAAAATTATACAAAAAGGAAGTCTCTTCTTCCGGACATGCATTCTTTCCGGATCCAATTGTCTTAATCCTAGGGATTTATCAATCCAAACCGTTGAAATTTGATCTAATGGTTAAAGTTATTATAACTTTTAAAGTGGACCCCTGTTTGTAGTCGTTGAATCAAATTTCAACGATCCGGATTGATGGATCCCTAGGATTAGGACAATTGGATCCGAAGAAAATCCATGTCCTCTCCTTCCCTTCCTCTGTTCACAAGTCATAGCAATTAACAACCTTTGACTTCACATAAATCAATTGAAAAACAAAATAAAAAAATAAGGAGTTAGCATGTTAATTACCACTAAAATATTCACTCATCAATTTTATGTCATTTAGGTTACTAAATTTTGTGTCCCTATCAAATGGCACATTATAGATGACGTTTGACTGCAGTGATAGAAAAAAAAAATATTTATATATCTTAGTACGGATTTGATCTTCGTTTCTTTAATAATTAACAATTTAACCAATAAACACAATCATTTTTCATAAAAAAAATAAATGTAGCGCCAAAATAATTAGTCAATTCTAAATTATATTATTGCTCCTATAATAATAATTCATTTTCTTCTTCCACAAAAAAAATAAAAAATAAAAAATTCCACGTTAATTTCGAAACCGCCACCAAATAATTCCACGTTATTAAATTCCCCCGAACACTGAGTCTCACTCTCTCGAGTGTCGGCGACCTCTATTCACGTACACCTTCCCTTCCCATAATCGGCGCTACACGCGTCCAGCTCCCATTAGCCTTCTCAGAAACACTCTGCGAAGCCGCCATTCACCCACCCACGTGTCTCACAGGACACGTGTTGAACGCTGAACCTCCAAGTCAAAACCCTGGCGCCCATCTTTGGAATTCGTCGGCATCGAATAAGCTTCCAACACGTGTCTCCTACTATCCTCCTTATATAAACTCACGAACGTCGAGCCCTTGAACCCAAACAAACAAACAAACAAACAAACTAACTAAACACCAAATCCAAGGATCAGACCTTTTTATCCATTCTTTTCAATGATTCAGAGATCAAACGGGTCAGGTCGCCGGATTCTGACGTACCCGGCGGTTCATCCGTGCGAAGCCATATCTCCGCAGACACTCCTGGCGTCACTCATCACTCTCACCTGCAACATTTGCTCTTTCAAGTCGAAAGTCTTCGCCAGCAACGCCCGAAACGCCCGAGAAATCATCCGACAAATTGGTGTCGTCCGGGTTTTTCTCGAAGCGGTTAGAGATGAATCGTCGGGTCTTCCGGCCTCCGCAGTTCTGACCTTGTCGGAGCTCCACTTGGCCTTCCAGAAAGTTCAGTTCTTGCTGGAAGACTTGGCCCGGGATGACGCCAGGGTATGGATGCTGATGAAGTCGGGTTGCGTGGCGAGTCAGTTTAGGGTCTTGAGTCGGGCCATGGGCACGGCTCTCGATGTTCTGCCTCTCGCGTCGGTCGACGCCTCCGTTGAGGTCAAGGAGCACGTGGAATTGGTGGCCAGGCAAGCGCGAAAGACGGGGTATGAAGTCGACCCGGATGATATTCGTGTCGTGGAGGCGGTGAGGTCCGTTTTGGCCGGGTTAGAGAAAGGAGTTGCTCCGGGCAAGGGGGATCTGAAATGGGTTCTCGAGTTCCTCGGGATTAGGAAATGGAGCAGGTGTGAGAAGCAAGTCAAGTTCTTGGATTCGGAAATTGGGTTCGAGAATTTGAGCCAGGAGAAGAGAGATGTGGGGTTGTTGAGCAGCCTGAAGGGTTTGCTTTGCTATTGTCGATGTGTGTTGTTTGATGTTGTGGATGGTGAACCGGGTCGAAGACCCGAGACCAAATGCAGCGGCGCCGGCGTGGCGGTGGATTGCCTCAATTCAGAAGATTTCCGTTGCCCGATATCGCTGGAAATCATGGTTGATCCGGTCACGATAGCAACAGGGCAGAGCTACGATCGGTCTTCGATTGAGAAATGGTTCAGAGCTGGCAATCCCATTTGTCCCAAGACGGGGGAGAAGCTCAAGAACACGGAGGTGGTGCCGAATTTGGCGCTAAAGCGATTGATCCAGCAGCATTGTTACGAAAATGGTGTTGCATTTACTGATTCGGGTCACCGAAATCGCGACAGCGGGAGGACTAGGCTTGCAGTTGCTGGGAGTTTGGCAGCTGAGGGAGCCATGAAAATGGTGGCCGAGTTTCTTAATGGATGGCTTGAGTTTGGGACAGTAGAAGAGCAGAACAAGGCTGCTTATGAAATCCGGCTTCTTTCGAAATCAAGCATTTTTAACAGGTCTTGTTTGGTTGAAGCCGATGTGATTCCACATTTGTTGAAACTGTTATGTTCAGCAGATTCAGGGATTCAAGAAAATGCCATCGCCTCCTTGTTGAATCTTTCGAAGTATTTGAAAAGCAAGGCTGTGATTGTCGAAAATCGTGGTCTGGATTTGATTGTAGGTGTGGTGAAGAAAGGTCTCAGATTAGAGGCTCGTCAGCATGCTGCTGGCACATTGTTTTACCTCTCTTCGGTCGAGGAGTACAGGAGATTGATTGGAGAAAATGCAGATGCCATACCGGCATTGATGGAGTTGATCAAGGATGGAACTGATAGGGCCAAGAAAAACGCATTGGTTGCGATTTTCGGGCTCATTAATCACCCGGCAAATCATAGGAGGGTGATAGTAGCAGGGGTAGTTCCTCTGCTTGTTAATGTCTTAACATCATTTGATAGTGAAGCTCTCGTCACAGATGCTCTGGCAATTCTTTCAACTCTCGCAGAGAAACCTGATGGATCCGTTGCAATTTCGCATTGCAAAGCTTTGGATACGATTGTAGGGATCCTGAATTCCTCCATTCCTAGGGCAGGGAAGGAGTTCTGCGTGTCTTTGTTGCTTGCTCTTTGCGTAAATGGCAGTGGAGATGTGGTTGCTCTTCTAGTGAAGAGCCCTTCGCTTATGGGACCTTTGTATTCTCAACTCAGCGAAGGCACGTCTCGAGCAAGCAAAAAGGCCAGTGCTCTCATCAGGGTCCTGCATGAGTTCCATGAAAGAAGGTCATCCGGCTCAATGTCTCCGGTTCCACAAGAGCGATTCATTCACGTTAGGTAAACCCCGAATATTTGTGGGGATACTTACATTGCTTAATTCTTTTGAGGCCTTCCTGTAAATTCAGGGTCCTGTGTGGATATGGTGTTGTTTTAGTTTGATTTTTCGTCTGGTTTGGTTTGGTTATTGGCTCGGTTTTTTTAAGAGCTAATGACTATATCAGTATATGTGATCAGCTTCCCCAATGAAGCTTTTTTGTACAAAATCATTGTTGTATTGCTCTGTATTGCAAAACTCTTTTGCCATACAAAATCAGTAATAAATCATTCACTATTGTTTCAATGTACAAAACTATGTGCCCGAGTTTCTTCGATTTCAAGCCTTGATTGGTAGGGTAAAAAATGCTGACTGTTTTTGGGTTGAGGTATCGAGTGCCTTTTCGAGTTTTGATACCACTTGGTCCATGCTTGGCCTTTGCAGCTTTAGTCCTGTGCATGACAAAGCTAGGTTGAACGCAAGGTCTAAAGCTTCCACCGAGTACTCCCCGTTAAGTTTGGGATCTGCAAATTCCGTTGCATCACCGCCTTTCTTGAGGGACCTTGCCTACAAAGACATGGAACATACGAAATCGAGTCAGCAAATTGAAATAGTTTTTTCAGAGATGTGGAGATAAAATATGACTTCATTACCATTTTACTCAGAGGCATTGGTTTGTTTAAGCTTAGATTGATAACCCTGCAGCCCGAGATAAGTTGCGGAAGAACTAAATGTCACTCTCACTTCTGAGCTCACATAGGACTGTCCCAAGTCCATAACTTTAGATAACTCGAAGTTCTCTTCAACCTGCTCATGGCTAGATTGATCGGTTTCCGGTCAAAATAGGAAGAACTAGAAGATTCCACCTCTGGAAAGCGCCTACACCTAATGGCATTCTTCATTCACTGATCAACCGGGCCCTTAAATCCTTGGTTTTCAACCTCAGATGGTGACAGTTTCACTTGAAAGTTTTTGTCAATGAGAATGTTTGTTGGTTGCCAGTTGGGAATGTGGCAAGAAAAGAAGTTTGATGAAAAAAGTGGCAAATGAAGCAACAGCGGCGGTGCAAACAGAAGAAATGCAGAAAGTTTAGAGCTACCTTGATATCACGGAGAACAATGCAGCCTCTCGGATAAGTTTGCAGAAGCCACAGACCTCCAGCACTGTCAATGGCAAGTTCTAGTCTAGTTATCCATGGCAGACTTTTATCTTTACCTGCAAATCAGCTTCAATTAAATTGGCTTTCTGAATTATCCAAATGCAAGAGAAAATTTTACGAATGGAAATATGACCCTACCAAATAGCCACTCCGAAAGGTCCCCATTTTGGCACAGTTCATAAACCAGGAAATATTCTTCTACACCCTCACAAGCTACAAGGTTTGGATGTCTAACATCGGGAAGGCTCGTTACTTCGCAGATGAATGTCTCGACAGAGCCATTGTTGATTATGTGCTTCATTGCAACATGCTTACCATTTGATAGTATGCCTTTGTATACCTTACCAGCTCTTCCTTGGTCAATGAAGTTGTCTGCACTTAGATTGTCGGTCGCTGAATAGATTTCCTTGCTTGATATCTTAAGGCTGCCAGATTCTTCAGACAGTAAATCATCTGATGCTGTCCAGTAAAAAAAAGGGTAGCAACAATTCACAACTGTTGGATTTGTAGTAAGATATGAAACTAGTTGTAGAAATAAATACCATCTTTTCGTGCTGAAAATCTCATAAGGTCCATGTTGCAATGAGTAATATTGCTGCAATTCCTGCTGGACCACGACATAGAATCCACAGAATTGACCTTCTCATGAATTAATCAAAAGATTCAAACTACCAAGAAACAGAACTTCACCATGACCGCTAACTAAATGACAACTGACTGCAACTTCCTAGAATTTAGGACTCAAAACTGAGTTGACATTATGTATTTAGAGTACCTGTGCTCAAGTTTATACCACTACTTCCCGAGCTTCGCTGTTCATCTGCAATGGAAGGAAAGGAGATCACTTAGCTGGAGTTTAAGGGTTTGTGTGCAACTGCTTCTAGGTCCTAGAAGCGTTTTTTGGAAAAGCACCTGCTTCAGGCACTTGTAGCAAAGCGCTTATGAGCAGAAGTACGAAAATAATAAATCGAATCAATTGCCTTTCTTGACTGCCTATACCTTCTGAAAGTCTCTGGTCCCCAAGGGTTTCATGAAGTGCTGAAACTCAATTCTTATCATCAATCCTCCTGCTTGTTAAAGTTACCAAAACTGCAAAGCTACACATATCAGCTTCAAGTTTTGATGACTCCTCATTTTCCGTCAATGCTACAATCTCTTCCCACCTTCTCAGACATGCACTACGAGCCTGATCCTGCTTGAACTTGTCACCCGTCCCAAAAGATTACAACCTTCATCTGAGATTATCAAAAACATCTACTTTCGTGTAGTCAGAGCATCCGCCGGCTCCACTTGTTATCTTGTCAATGCCACAACTCAAAACATCATCTTTTATACCCTTCATTGAAATTAAGCAGTTTGTCTGCTCTGTCGAGTTTAAGAAGAGCTGCCCTGTCCCCCAAGGTGCATAAGTAATCATCGAAAGCTGCTCGCAACAATTGCTGATAAATCCACCCCAATTTCCAGCTTCACAACTCGTGCCGTGCCATGCTGAAGAGTCTTGGACATCAAGTACACACTCAGTATCTGGGGTTTTTTAGAAGGAAAAGGTTAAGACGCTAAGGAATAGGAAGAGTACTATCATAAGGGGCAGTTTGCGGTTCTTCCTTCGATTAAGACAATGGAAATTCAACACAAGTTTGGCCATGGAGTTGGGGGGGGGGGGGGGGGAGAGAGAGAGAGAGAGAGAGAGATTTGAAGTTGGAAGAATGTAAACCAGGCGAATGGCTGTGAGGTAACGCAGAAGTGAGAAAACTGGTGCAGGTGAGAGAGCTCTGTTGTGGCATGTCTTTATGCAGGCTAATCTAAACAAGGATTGAGGCTGGTAAAATGAATACAAGAAACTTAACCTAAAAATCGAGAAAACTCTATGTAAGGATACCGACCACGTCATTTGTAGGGCAGCTTTAAAAAAAAAACTATCAAACCTTATGTATTTTGATCTTACTCGACCTCACGCTGATCTCACCTAATATGAGAGTTCTACTAATCAGGGAGCTCTACGACCCTACTAAGCTTTCCTCCTCAAGGACGGATGTAGCATTGAAGATTAAGATTCTTAACTTCAGTTGTAGATGGTCAATTTTGAAAATTGAGACTTTGAGCTGGTGTATGATCATGTCTCTATGGTTTTGACAAGCATATATTTATCACCCAAACAATATCATTTAATTTTTAATTAGTATGAAATTACTTTGTAAAAATCGCAATTCCAAAACACAGTATCTTCTAAATCTGTTAAGAACCGTTTGACTTGATGAAGATTACAAATGTGATAACTTTGATGCCACACAAACACCGCTTATGCAATTTGGATAGCTTAATACAATAAGTCAATGCAGAGTGCCAAATGGGAATGCCCCTCCCAAGTTGACCATTCTTGCAAACTTTAAGTGAAAGTTTTGAGTTTGATAATCGTAAATAGCGAGTTTGATGTTAATTTATTATGCCGACTCAATGTATGGCTTAAAAATAATTTCTTGCCTCTAACGTAAAATTCGCCTATTAACCCAAAAAATGAAAATTGAAATTCTCTCAACATCGAGAATTGAAAAGAGAAATACTATTAGACAAAATATTATTTGAACTAATTGATCATGCATATTTGATCTCGTTAACACTGCATCCGTTTCTCAATAAAAAAAGACGTCCTGCACAGAAATTTTTTACCACTTCCTTCACTAGAAGATGGTCCAAATTCTTCAGCCACAACACTTTCTTAAAAAAAGAAGAAGTTAGATTACTGATGGCAACCCAAAACCTAGTTGCCTTAATAATAAAAAGCCCATCCCTTCAAACTCCCACAAAGGAAAAAGCACATGATGACATTCCTTTTCAATAATTGGAGACCAAAACGACAACGTTTCGTTCCATCTTCACCTTACGGTCCTACCAAACCTCCGTCTCCAAGTATCTTTGCGCACATCCAAAATCAAAGCTAAAGCTTTGAACTTTCTCAGCTGATCCATTCTCCCCGAACCGAACCCGGAAACCCATTGAGAAACATCCACCTATTCCCGATGGGTTTCAATGACAAAACCACCGACGAAAATTCCGAGACCAGCCTCCTCCTTCCCACCGTAACCCCCGCCGCCGACGTACCCAATAAAATCCCAGAGGACTCCTTCCACTTCGCCTACATAATCTACTTCACACTGGGTGTCGGCTACCTCCTCCCATGGAACGCTTTCATCACAGCCGTCGATTACTTCGCCTACCTCTACCCAGATGCCAGCGTCGACCGTATATTCTCCGTCGTTTACATGGTGGTGGGCCTCTTCTGCCTCCTCCTGATTATCTTCTACTCCCACAAGTCCGAAGCCTATGTCCGGATCAATGTGGGCCTGGGCCTCTTCGTCGTTTCGCTGCTCGTCGTTCCCCTCATGGATGTCTTTTACATCAAGGGTCGGGTCGGGTTGTACAACGGGTTTTACGTGACGGTTGTGGCGGTTGCCCTTTCCGCCGCGGCGGATGCTTTGGTTCAAGGCTCGCTCATTGGGGCGGCTAGCGAGTTGCCCGGAACTTATATGCAAGCCGTTGTGGCCGGGACTGCTGGTTCAGGTAAAACTCCTACCCTTTCCGGTCGAATTTGGAATTTCAGTTTTTGGGTTTTACTCTTTGTTTGATTTTGGTTTCTGGGTATTGTTTCATTTTCTGAATTAAATTCCGATTTTAGTTAATCTCAGTTGACTTCGTTTGATTTTCTGCGTCTCTTTGTAACCTGAATGGCCGTTTGGGAAAGTCTTCTGGTCATAAGTGCTTCTGCTAGAAGTGCTTTAATAGGAAACACATTGAAATTGTTATTAAAATTTTAACTGCAACCTGGAAAAGCACTTGCAAGTCTGAAGAACCACCTTCTCCATAGAACACTAGTATGTTTTTCTGCCAAATGTAGTTAGAAACGCTTTCAATTGTCACAAGCACTTTTAGGTCTCTAGGGAAGTATCAAACGAAACACACTATGAAGCATATTAGTTTTTCTGCTCTAGGTTACTGGTTATGAGTTCATCAGAGTTTCCTAACAGGTCTCCCCAAAATTTGAATGGCTTTACAGGAGTCATTGTTTCTGCTCTGAGGATCGTAACCAAGGCAGTATATCCACAAAATACCGAAGGCCTGAGGAAAAGTGCGAACCTTTACTTCGCTGTCGGGATAGTCATTATTGTCATATGCATTGTCTTCTACAATGTGGCACCAAGGATTCCAGTTATGAAGTATTATGCAGATTTAAAGGTTCAGGCTGTAAACGATGCGACAGAAGAGAGAGGCCCTCCGACTCTGACTGTGTTGAGATCAACTCTGTGGCACGTAGTCGACAGAGTCAAGTGGTACGGAATTGGCATCTTCCTCATCTATGTCGTGACTTTGTCGATATTTCCAGGATACATTACTGAAGACGTGCACTCTCAGATTCTCAAGGATTGGTACCCAATCATCCTTATCACCGGCTACAATGTGTTTGATCTCGTTGGCAAGTCTCTGACTTCTGTGTGCCTCCTCAAAAATTCCAAGGTTGCAATCGGCAGTACAGTTGTGCGATTGCTCTTCTTTCCTCTCTTCTATGGGTGCTTGCACGGCCCCAAATTCTTCCGAACAGAGATTCCAGTGACGATACTAACTTGCCTTTTGGGGCTCACCAACGGCTACTTGACTAGCGTGTTGATGATTTTGGTTCCCAAAGTTGTCCAATTCCAACATGCCGAGACGGCAGGGATTGTGATCGTGTTGTTCTTGGTTCTGGGTTTGGCTGCTGGCTCAGTTGTAACTTGGTTCTGGGTCATCTGATGCCTCAATTGTATCCTAATCCTGTTTAGCTTGGTAAGTCTACTGTTAATAGTATTTCTGTTTGTTTCTTAAACATGGATTATGAATTGTAAATCTGAATAAGATGGGAAACGATTCTGGCTCAAATTCTGGCTTACGGGCTTCCAAGTTCTACTGCTAAAGATGTGATTTTCGCACGTCTGTTTTCTCATTAAACCAAAAGAAGATCAAGGAACACAAACAAAGGGAGAAGTAAAGAACGAGAAAACGAGAGTCTAATTTGAAAATACAAATAATTAAAAGAGAATAACACAAGTGTAATGGTAGGAAGGATTTCCCTGTCATGCATTTCAAAATACTATGGCCTGACTGAAAACGCCGGACATAAATACAAGTAAAATTTTGGAAAGAATCACCGAGAGGACATCTAACAGATTCCAAAGCTACAGACAACCAACAAGATCGACGAAGACGAAAAAGGGCATTATTTGCTTATGGAACAAAATGTAACAGGAAGCGATAGAAACAGAAAGAATTTGGTTTTAGCCATCTATGCGACCCATCCTAGTTAACGAGGGCGGAGGGCAAAGGACATATTATACTAACAAGACTTGGGTCTACAGCAAGCAAAAGTACAACTGACATTAAAAACTATCAAGTTCTTGTTCTTGAAGCCAGACCTGTCTCGACCTTCTTAATTTCAAAGATGAGCATCCTCCACATCTTGAGCACAAACATTTCAGCTTCTTCGTCTAAAATGGATTGAAGCAGCTGGAGCATGCGTTCTGCTCCGACATGTTCCTGAGTACTAGATACAATGTAATCTACCAGCGTAGTCTCTTCCTCTCCCAGAAACTCGGTAATCTTCTTCGAAATCCATGGTCTCATGCGTTCATGTAGTGCATGCTGTGAAAGCAGACACATCAAACATAGTTACGAGCAGTTAGTAGACTACGTGAATGAATGATCACCTAGCAAATTGTGCAAGTTTAAACAAAAGAATTTAGTATCATGGGTTAAGGCGTGCTTACCTGTTCATAAATAGCCCAATTTATTTCGTATGAGAATAATTCCTCTTTTGTCTTCGGAATCATATCGATCAGTTGTTTTGCATCCAAAAGCTTCTTGTTATCCGTTGCCCTTGGTTTACTCATCCCATGTTCTCGGTCCGTATCACGGTCAATAGTCTTCTCCTTGTGCTCATTTCTAGTGCGATTAGAGTCATCACCATGCCGGTCCCTATCCCGGTGGCTTGACCTATCATCAGAACGTCTACTTCTTTCTTTCTCCGCATCTGGCTTCTCTTCTTTAGAACTAGCATTTGATATTCGCTTTGCGAATTCTGCAGCTGCAGCCAAATTTGATGGAGCTGTCCCAAAAACAGTGTTGGACAGCCTGTAGTTCTTCAGTTGAATAATCAATTGGAACCAGGGGCCTCATTTTTTTGTCCTTGTGTGCATCATCATCCTCCTCTTTAAAAACAGAAGGAACAGCAGTACGTTTTCCAGAACCCATTAAGCCAAAACCCAACTTCTTTGCTGGGGCACTGCCACTCAGATGTGGTTCTGATGCAGAAGCAGATGTCATGGTTGACTTATCACCACTGTTACCATTCTGTAAAGCTCCATCACCTGTCACGTCAAAGTCAAACGACGTGAATAAAAATGAAAACAAAAGGGAAGGAAGGCAAAAGAAAAGAACAATACAAGCAATAAATAATTTCACGAGTAATTTTACCTATACGATTCTCAGGACCAGAATAACCCTCAACGTCCTGTTCAATTGCCTTATCTTTCAGTTCCACACCGAATTCTTCAGCCAAAGCAACTGTGTCACTTCCATTTGGTACATGGCCAGATGAAACCCTTAATGCATCTCTCTCTTGCTCCAGCTGCTTTTCCTCTTCAGCCCTCTTTCTGGCCTCGGCAATTTCTTCTTCTTCTTTCTGCCTGTCAGCTATGTCCTCTTCCTTCTCCCGTAGTCTCCTCTTTCTCTTCTCCTCCAATGCACTTCTCCTCCATTTTTTCCTGGAATCTTCATCCTCATCATCTTCTTCATAAATTACCTCTTTCTTCCGTTTGCGTTCTCTCTCTTTCTCCCTCTCCTTCTCATACTGCCTCTGTTTCTCTTTCTCCCTTTCCCTATACTCCCAATCTTTCAGACATTTTTCATACTGATGCTCAGCATCCTCGATTTTTCTCCTTTGCTCCTTCTCCTTCCGCACCCGTTCTCGCTCTGTTTCTCTTTCGTATCTTTCAATCTCACGCTCCTTTTCGCGTTTCATATCTCGCCCCCTGTCTCTGCTCCTATCTTGCCTTCTGCTCCTATCAGGTGAGCTTGTTTCAGGCCTCTCCTGGTCACTTGTTTTGTTGTCACCAGTTATCTCTTCATCAATTTTTTCTTCACAAGCATCTGAAAAGTTAAAAGTATCCATTATAAGTATGACAGCAAAACTGCCACTAGTAATTGACTTTAAACAACTTCATCACTTACTGAGTACAAACATGAGACTTACCATTTCTCATTGTATCAACATCAGAGTCTCCATCCCTTGATTTAGCTGGCAGCGTTGAGTTTGAATTCCTAGTAGCATCACCAGGAGCTGGTGTAGGTGGTGGAGGGAGAGGTTTGTTTTTTATTCTCTCCTCTATCAAACTTGTAAGCTTCTCCATAGCCTCCTGGTCAGCTTCCTTGTCTTCATCAGTCACAATTCCAAAATTGGCAGTGTCATTTTCTTTGTTACTTGAATTACTATCTTCCTCCTTTGGGTCTTGTACAGAAGGATTTGAAGGTACATTCTTCTCACCGTCTGGTGCACTTCCATCACCTTTCTCAGCTGCTTCAGCTTCTTTGAGCTTCTTTGAGTTTTCAGTCTTCTTTTGGACAACCCTCTCCAGATAGTCTCTTGTTGCTTGATTAACATTTAGCTGTTTAAGTTTACAACAGCAAGTATAAAAAGAGAAAAATATTAGCAAAGTTAAAAGCGTAGAGAAGTATGTATAGCATGATTACTAAGGAACGGAAATTTCCATTGCACCATAATGACAATGACAATAAAAAACCACATAATGAAACTGACAAATGATATCAAATAAGAATCAACACATACCACAAGGTCCTGCCCATCAATGCTCAATTTGGTGAGAAGACGTAATGCCCGAAGAACCCCTTCAGCAGATTCAAATTCGCAGAACCCAAAGCCTCTAGGAGTCCCATCTGTGGGATCTTGAGCACGTTTCCAACTCTTGACAGGTCCACACAACTTCACAAAAGGTAAAACCATCAGAAGTCAAAATCATTCACCAAAAACTTATATGAAATTATTTATAAATTTGGGTAACATAAAACAAGAGTGGGAAAGTTGATATAGAACAACAAAGATCGCAGTAATTTGACAGCACACCTGGAGGAGATATTTCATAAATTCATTGTCCACAGTTGGTGCTATCTTCCCAACATAAACAGTGGTTTGTGGTTTCTCCGCTGGGGTGACAATAGGAAGAATTGGCCTAACAGGAGGGATAATTGGGCGAACTCCAGGAATCCCAGGAACAGGGGCACGCTGAAGCAAACCAGTTGCTCCCAGTGGGCGTGGAGGAAACGGGGTCCGAATCATTGGATATGGAGGATAACGAGGAAGTCCTACAAAAACAAAATTAAATATCTTGCAAATTCGTCAGAGAACGTTTATTAACTGCATCCAATGATAAATAGGTGACCCTCCCCCAATCAAAACAAATGTATGAAAAACAATATGACTGTAAATAATGATTTTTTGTTACCACACATTAAAAGCATATTAGAGATGGCAGCACAGGCATAGCAACTACCACCAGCTGAACAGATAACCTGAAGGAAACATTAAGAAAGAACATCGTGTTCATAAACCATGAATGAGTAAATTGTGCTTACCTTGCGCACCCCAGTTGGACCAAAGTAGCCTTTTCAAGTAAAATAAAACCTCCAACATCTCATGCATTGATGAGAATTATACATATTTAATATGTTGACAGTTTAATTCATCTCAAAAAAGTTAGCAGCGTGCCATGCAGCACGAGAACAATATTAGTTAAAAAACAAAAACATAACAAACATGCATAAAGTATAAAACACACACACAAATAAACACATGATGAGATGTTTAAATGTATATATAAATAGATTGATTGATAGATGGATGGATGATGGACAAAAATATATATCTATGGATAGAGAGACTTCAGTCGGAAGGATTGCGATACCTTAGAACACAAGGGCAATGGGCACTCAGTTGCAAACATGGTCTGCTTCTGGCAATTCATAAACCCATGAAAGGGAAAGTATCCTTAAAACTAACAGAAAGCATCCTACTAAAATAAACATGACAAAGTAATATAACTTTAGAATGACAAACTGAACAGTAATTTTTCCGAATTTTGGGAATATCTTTTGAACTCCATGACCAACTTGAGCTTGAATAAAACTTTAAAATATGTGCATACCAAAAAAGGAGTTGTAGATGGGGAGTTCTCAAAGCAATATGAAGCAGGCCATCCAACCTTTCTCACCGAATTCAATCAAGACACTGTAGGAGAAAACATCTTGTCATGGATACCCTTAATCTACCACACTAGATTTTTTTTTATCAAACTCCGAACTCTGCCTTAACAAACGCTTCCCACTGTATTATACCTTTAGTCTTCATTTAATTGCTATCCATAAATTCAACAAGTAATCTACTTTTTTCACTTTTTCGAGACAAAAACCAAAACCCCTAGTATTTCTTGAACAACTCATAGCAAAACAACACCAAGCAATTGCAAAACGAGAACCAACGATAAATACAGACACTTTGCATTGAAATTGACTAGCAAAAAAAAAAAAAAAAAACCATACGAAATAACTAAGGGATTATACAGAGAAGCAAAAACCCACCAGGTAAAGCGCCTTGAGGAGCACCAGTGGGCATGGCTGCGTATCCATTAGGCATCGGTGCGTACGGTCTCATAGGCTGCATCTGATAATGCATCATATGCTGCGGGGCCGAGGACGGCGGGGGCACACCAGGAGCCATCGGAGCCCCGGAGCTCACACCGGGCGGCTGGACGCCAGGGAGGTGATAATTCGGATTGGGCACGCCCGGGTTCGGTATTGGAGTGAACTGCGAAACCGGCCGGAACGAAGGCGCGGTCGGTGGTAAGGCGCCGGAAACCTGTTGTGGCGCGTAGGATATCGAAGGATGTGGCGGTGGAGGTGGCGGAGATACTAGAGGCGGATTCGAATTAGGGTTTACGAGGATAGGGGTGGAAGATAAGGACGATGATGGTGATGGTGGCGGTGGTGGTGTGGAAGCAGCGGGAACGGGATCAGGTTGGTTAGATTGGGGATTGGGGTTATCGGATTGGGGATTCGATTCTGCGTTTGTGGCGGGAGAAGAAGAAGCGTCCGCCATGGCTGGAAAGAATTGAAATCAGTGAGTGAATTTTCACTGTTTTTGTGCCCTAGGAGAGAGAAAGATGGAGACGGAGAGTGACAGATTGAGAGAACTGAGAGGGAGAGTTTATGTATGAAGTGGATGAGTTTGTGTTGGGAGGAAGTAAAATTTGTTGTATTATAGGCATACGTGTCGGCCCCTAATTGGTTGGCAATAACTCAAAAGACCAATAGGCCTTAAATGTGACATTCCTTTTTTGAATGTTTTTTTAGACATTTTTCAGTGCGCTGAAAATACAATGCAATATACTCAAGTGTCATAATATAAATAATCAAAAATTATCAACTATTTGTATTATGATACTTGGACAAGTCGTGTTCTCAATACATTAAAAAATCTGTCTACGTATCATAGTAAAGTATCAATTTTTAAAAAATGAACAAGGAATTTTCAATTTTTTCATGTTACTTGTGATGTTTTGACATTCTATTCTATTAATGTACACATTTTAGGTTCATAGTCAGACAACTATTAACTAATGACGTTGTAAGTGCAAGACACACCTATTAAATGTGGGTATAAAAAAGGGATTTGTATCCTCTCCGAGGCAACTGGTCGAGATCCTCCTGATCAATATTCGTGGACCGTTGGATTTTTATCCAACTGCTACAATTATTATAATTTTTAGAGGGCCCCCAATTTGTAGCCGTTGGATAAAAATCCAACGGTCCACGAACACTGGTCAGGAGGATCCTGACCAATTGCCTCAGAGAGGATCTAAATCGTATTTTTATGGAACAATTGGTACATGTAAAAGGCACGTAGGAACACTATATGGTTGATTAGCAGGGCCGGTTCTGAGATTTTTTAGGCCCAGGGCACCCAAAAAGTGCCCTAGTATAACTCCATATCAGGAAAAAAAAATCAATTGTTTTAGAGTTCATATTTGTTCATGCTGATGTAACTTTTCTTTGATAAAATGATAGCAGGATGTGAGGGATTATGCTAAGCAACAAGATAGGTTGGCCATAATTTGGTGTCTAACTTGTCTTTTAAAAAACTCAAATGTAAGACCTCTAACTTATAAGTGAAGAAAAAATAGATTTCACATCTAAGCCATAACATTACACTTTAGTTTGTAATTAGATAAGGGTACACAAATATTTCACAAGCAAAAATCAATTAAAGTATGATAGGTGTTTTTGTATAAAACTTATAACTATCGGGACAAATTTCTAATTTACTGTCCCTTGGGGCCTCATAAGAATTGTCATATTTTTCTCTCTCTAATTTTTATATATAATGTTATAAACAATGAATGAACCAAAAAAATTATTGAAAAACCAAATACCACATATATGTTATTAAAAATATAACTCATTTTTCTTGGATAAGAAAGAAAAGTAACCCTAAACCCTAACATTATATTGAAACAGAACATCAGTGCTAAAAAAATAAATATTAATGAAAATGGTTTGAAAACTTTGAGAGTTTTAACGATAATGACAAAATAAAGGGTAAAATGAATAGTACCATGATTGACTTTTTAGTGTAAAAATGTGATTTTTCGTTAAAATGAACAGTACTGAAAGCTTTTTGTTAAAATTCTCAAAAGACAAAGGCCCTCATTTTGATCTGAACTTGGGTGGCTACTATTATTATTATTATTATTTGCCAAGGGGTGGTAATTAATTGAAAATGAATTTGTAAAAACCACTTTCGTCAAAGGCACATATAGAAATATAGCTACTTATTTAAACCAAAGATGAAATAAATGTATAAAAAATTAGGCAAATTTGAACCCATGTTCCTTTCCATTGCAAGAAAGCAGCGAAACACTACCGCAAATGACAAGTTATGAAAAATATCCAGTTTTATATTTTTATACGCTTACTGGACATAACATTATAATAATAGAAATTAAATTTTTTTGTGCCCTCAATTTTTTGAGGCCCCGCGCGGTCGCCCTGGCTACCCTAGGATAGGGCTGGGCCTGTTGATTAGACAATCAACCTAACAAAATGTGCATTTTTATTTTACAGAAACGATAGAATTTCATTACCATAACCAATCACAAGGATGCTAGATGGGTACATATGCTCCAGTGATCAATTTCTTGATCTGGAGGTAATAAGCACAAATTACAAATAATTTTAAATCTCTATATGCCCATCACACAAATCAAACCACTAAAACGAGAAATCTCGAGATTGACATGTCCCATAGACAAGGCGTTACATACCAAGCACTGCAACCCTTACCAAAACCATCACAAGACAGTGAGGCTACAAAATCGCAAAAGCAACAGAAACCATTTGCCGAAGCAACAGACCAGTCATAAAAACTAAACTAAAAAAAAAAAACAAAAGAACAAGGTGACCCGTCCACGATGAAGATGCAGCTGCAAAATTTGGCAGTAGGCAAATTAAACAATGTCCAAAAGGTTAAGGTGCACCTTTACCAAAAACGAAAAAAAGGGTTAAGGTGCACTGTGAACAAAGTAACATCTCATAAACTCTTTTTTGAAATTGATTTCAAACTTGATGGGTTAAAAATGTCCCTATCCCTTTTCGGGTAAAGATTCAAATGTTAATTTCTTAAACATTGAGACCACCGTAAATAATAGGGGCGAGTTCGTTTTAATATGATTTGGTTTTTAGCTAAATAAAAAACCAAACTAAAGTTCCTATTTGGTTTGGTTTAGTTCGGTTTTCTCAAAATTTAAAGAGTATAAACAGAGGTCATTCGATTTGATTTTAGTATTTTTTTTGAACTTTGAAATTAGAGAAAAATGAAGAAGAAAAAAACTAGAGATTTGGAAAAATGGATAAAGCAATTTCAAGTTTCACAAATAAGTGAATAACTATATCAATCCATAAAGTTACATATTAAAAGTAGAAATACTCAATGAACTTACGATAAAGATAATCTACAATTTGACTTGTAATTATGTTCATGACAAGGAACTCAATGTATCAAGTATAAGTAGTTTTTCTTGACATGAATTTGCATTTATATTCTCTAAATACATGAAACTCTATTAGACAAGAATTCCAAGATGCATATATCTGGTTAATTTCTCAAAAGAATCTGTTCCAGCGCGCCGTTGGTGCTTATGGAGAATGAATCGGCGGATGGGATACTGACTTGAATCCAGTGCACAGATGTAGCAACTAACTCAGCATTGAATCAGGTGTTCCATCGATGTATATATAGCTCAGACATGGTGTAAATGATCTTTTGACTTCAGCATTGTGTAGCCTGGAAAACTGGTTAAGATGCCGTTTCTTCGAGAGCTGAGAGGATACCAGTTTGCCAGGACAAGGCGTACATCATAGTCGTTTACATTACTGACCATTTTTGGTGAGTTTGTCAACTTATGCTTCACTAATTGCTCCACCAACATAAGCAACGTCAGTTCAAACCCACTTTTAGCCTTTCGCATATAAGTGATACAAATTTTTACTACAAATGTGTGTATTTGACAATTCGTTTGGAAAGGAAAAAGAATTTCGCCTTCTTCCTTTCGAATGGTATGATCCCTCCGTTGCCCCAGAATGAAGAGCGATCTCGTAGTTCTTTGTCTGTAGGAGCTCCGTTTTATTTTCCCATTGATTTGCCTTACTGTTTGCAGCTGAAGATGGAGAAGCAACCCAAACCTTTATTTTCTGAAAAGTCAATTACCTCTAGCATCGAGACAACCTCTGCCATTTCTGGCCTTCTGTTCGGTTTTGAATCCCAGCACCTGATCATCACTTTAGCTAAGGAGCTAGGGCAACCCTTCGGTATCTCTGGTCTTAAATTCTGCAGTTAAATAAAACAAAGCATTGTAAGTTTAACGTTACTTGAATTATTACAAAGACAGAAATAGAGCTATTGAAATTCTTCTGTACATGATATGTACACACACGTACGTCATTCACAACTGCTGAAGTCAATTCTGAGAATCCGACGTTACGATATGGCATATCGCAGCGATACATCTCCCATAAGCAAATTCCGAAGCTGTAAACGTCACATTTTTCGTCATATGGTTTATTTTCTATGACCTGCAATTAACACATTTGGTATTAGTTAGTTTACTGCAAAACCAAATCAACAACTCAAAGTCTAGAAATGGATGAGAAAAAATGCTGACACCGACTCGGCCCCAGTGAGAGAGTTTAAAGGGGAAAAGCAATTTATTCGAACAATAATGCTGGACATTCAGAATATAGTAATATTCCCAGAAACATTTATATCTTTTAATTTTCATACAGGTAATATTAACTTACCTCAGGCGCCATGTATCCAGCTGTGCCGGTGTAGCCTGTCATCTCGCTTGAATTCGAAGCCTGGAAACGAGCAACGCCGAAATCCGCTATCTTTACCCTACCGTCCTTGTCAAGAAGCAGGTTTTCCGATTTCACATCTCGATGAACAATATTCTTGCTGTGCAAGTAACTCAACCTGCATGCAAATTAACACATATATATACCATTAATTTCTCAAATATAGCAGATAATTAATAAAATTACACTCGGGAAGTTAGGCCAAATTACATAAATATATATGTAGGAAAAGTTGTGATACCCTCTAGCAAGATCAAGTGCCATTTGTTTGACAGTCTTGAGAGGTAGCTTCCTTTCCCGGTGCTTTATGAGGTAAGATTTTAGCGTACCGCCGGAAAGATACTCCGCGATAACGCAGGCGGAGTTAGGGCTTATCTCTACCTTACTGTGGGATTTTAGTTTTGATGTTTTTGTTGCGGCTCCAATGAACTGGAAAAATAAAATTAAAAGAATTTTTTTAATAACATAACAAAAATTAAAATAAAATTTACATTTAATTGTAGAAAAGGAAAAGAGAAAAAAAAAAAAAAAAACTGAATGGTTTTTGTACCTTGGTAATGTTGGGGTGATCAAGTTTATGCCAAACAGAAACCTCCCGTCTAAAATCGTTTTGCAAAGAAGCTATTTGAGCTTTTGTGTTTTGGCCTTCTTCTCCCCACTCCAAAAATTTGACTGTTTAATTAAGAAAGAAAAAGATTAATTAAGCCATGCACATATAAACATGTAGTAATTAAGCAGATGTAATCAGTAATTACGACATATATACCTGCGACTTGTTGGCCGTCGTAGAGGCCTCTATGGACGGAACCAAACGTTCCACGGGCGAAAACTTGCTTCACGAAGAGTTTATCCGGCACGATTTGCCACTCCTCCTCCTCTTTTGCCGGCTTGATGGCCGCAACAACTCTGGTGTTGTCGTCTCTGATGACTTTGCTTTCTTGGCCGTCAAGCAACTCTTTCGTCTTCTCCTTCTTCTCCATTGAGCATAGTCGGTCGAGATGCCTCGCCAACTGTTGGTCCAAACTTCGTATGTCGATATTGCCCGCAGCCTTCTTTCCACTTCCAAAGCCTGCTCGTTTGCCCTCCATGTTTGTTTCAAGTAGTTTGAGAGAGCTAGTAGCCTAGTGAATTGTGAAAAGTTGGATTTTCTGGTCTGGTTGTGTATATATAGAGTTGTTCGTCGGTGGTGTTTCTTTTCCTTTCTAATTTGGTATTCCTTTTACCACGCACATTAAACGTTCACATTTAGGTTACACATCTAAATAAGAGCCATTGAATTCTATATGGTCAAATAATCTAACGGCTCTTGTTAAAGAAGTCAAGTTGTTTGTGGTTGATAGAAATCCTTCCGGCCCATTAGGAGTTTTAGTGTCCTTTCTGGACCGAAAGAACTTTATCCAAGCCCAAAAACTTTTATATTTCATTTTATTTTTCCGTGAACAATTCTCTCTACTAACATGGCAAATTACTATGTAAAATATAAAATGAATTAAAGGGGAGAGAGAGATGCAAAGATTATATTGTATTTATACATTTTCTCATGGCTTTTTTCAGCATGTGGATTATTACAGAGCTGTTAAAATGTAGATTTATAGTGGATTTTACAAAGTTGCAGATTTCCTAAATCCAAAATATGTGGTAGCGCCGGGACGTATACCGGTATATGTAATACGTATCTTTACGAATCAGATATACGGTGAGGATTTATACACATTGGTCACGGTGGTTACGTTCCGAAATCAGGCTTGGCGTTGTTTCTTCTTAGGAGTTGAATGTACCTGTTCTGTCCGTCCGTATGTTTTCATCTGATAAATCTCAAAGGCCTCGGAAACTGCTGCAACCTGATTGATTACATCATCGCTCGTTAGTCATAAGAAATTAATACAGAATACGCGATTAAGTTAACAATCACAGCATGTATTAAGAAACGAACCACTTCGGGCTTCTTCGCGTACACCCTGACTATCTTGTCTTGATAGAATGTTGGAAGCAAGTGACTTATGCGATCATCTTGGATCAGAAACTTTTCACCATTTAGAGCACTCTCATAATCCTGATAAAAATCAAGCCATACACCGTAAAATTCAACCACCTACGGAAGAAAGTACCGTCTACTTCAAGAATTTAAGAAAAATAACAGAGATTCTCAAGCTGTCAACTTGTTTCAAGGACAATTTCATATCCAGATCCGTTCGTTCTACCATGGAAAATTAGTAACTGAAGAATATGATTGCCAAAAAGTACACAACTATTTCACAGTTTAACACATCACAGATTTCAATATCAGCAGTATGTCCAAATGCTAAAACTATGATCAGGTTAAATTTGACGATTCACTAAAATCTTTTCGATAGTTTGCTTCTACAGTATATATGCACTGCGGTTGCCACATATTGCAGTGATCATGCAGTTTACGAGGTTTATTCATTCATTAAATCAGCGGCTTGAAAGATGAGTAAAGTACGGGGCATCAAGCCATATATAGGTCGAAAGTACCTTGAAAAAATTGATTCTGGAGGAGCAGGTGCATGCGTAAAGGAGAGCAAATTATTTGTCAAATAAAATTACCAAAAGCAAATTTAATAAATGTTATACGAAGACAAGCAGTGGCTTGATAATAATCATGATATGATTTAGGAGTATAAGGTACCTTTCAAGAGGGTTCTTGGTTCCATGAGTCAAATCAATTTTAACAGTGCATACTGCAACATCCTCTTCCTTGAGTGTAACACTACCAGATTTCTGGACGGAAAATTAGGCACAAGGTATCATGTATCTACTTGATAAGCATAACGTAAAGAGGAAGATGTAAGAAACTAATAATATATTTGGAACCTGGGAACAAACTATGTCTTCAGGCGTGATGTCTTTGAAATGCTCTAGGTTTTCCTTTGGAACAGAATACTCGTTGCAGAACTGCCAAAGCAAATAAGAATTGTAACAAACTGGATTGCCTAATGAATTACGCTAGGAAACGCTAAGATCTGAGACACGCAAATAATGTAATACTACAGGACCTATTTCTTGTGGGGTGGACATATAAGGGTACCTGGTAAAGATCCCTTCTTCGAATGCGATGGATCAAATCCTTAGCTTCCTTGAGTTCAGGGTCATCAGAAGTTTCAATCCTCTTCAAAATTGTGTCATCCAACTGTAGATTAACACAAATAACGTTAGTGCTACAATGATAAAAGCCTTAGTCAAAAACTCTGTTAAATGATAAAGCACTTGCACCTTCCAAAACTCAGCTGCGCTTTGAATTGATTCTGCAATTTTAAAAGCACTATTTGCAAGGCACATAGCATCAATGGCCATGAGTTCAACAGCCTGTGAAAACATAGATGTCCAGAGGCAGATCAGAAAAGTTAATTTATCTATAGTACCATGATAATTTTGATGCTTCAGCGAAATTTTTTTGGTTCTATCTCTGACCTTCACTTTAGCATGTGTGTACACGGTTCGATGCAGATCAGCACGAGTGGCAAAGAGCTTGTGGACTGTCAGATCTGCCCAAGATATCAAATAAAATTTAAAGAACCATAACAATTGTGTTGCTAGAGTGACAAAAAGATATTCAATATATACTCACAATCACTAGCACGATAACATATCTCATCATCTATAACTCTCATAGTTTCCATCAGCCTACAATTTGAAAGAACAAAAATATGTTCCAGCAAAAATCGTCAGTATGGGAAAAGTAATAGTTTCTAAACATCAAGTCTGTATAAATAACACAACCACCAAGTTTAAACTTCTACACAAATGGAAATTTCAAAAATTTGAGTGTACTGGACGTCATGGATCTTCAATGAATTTAAGTGCTCTGTGAATTGTTAACTTATAAATACCTTTCGAACTGAAAACTACAGCCTATACCACATGCTCGGGAGTCACGCACCATGTAATCAAACCTGTAGAGAAATGACATACGCATCACTTAGCATTGTCAGATAACAAGTAGCAATTTCCAAATGAAATGCCAGACCTTCTATAAAAGGAAATCAAGTGACCTACTTGTCAACATCTATTCCAGTTCGCCCATTTGCAACAATATCATACAAGAAACGATTCTTTGTCATGCTCTGCATTTTTAGCATATTGCAAAGGGCTAAGGATAAAATACTAAAGGAATCCAATGTAGAGTGCGAGCATTAAAGCGGAAAAAGTAGTCTGTAAGGTGTTCTGAGATACTTGAAGAAATCTCAAAATTTGAGCCTTAAACTTTATGATAACTTACATTCTGTTCCCCATGGTTGGAGCTAGCAAGGATCAGTTCCTGTAAAGATACATTACATTCCCAATACATTAAATCCTAATCCATTATTACTATCGATAAAACATCCATCAGCATTCACATTTACACATATTGAGCCAACAAAGAATCGTACAGAAGTTGAAGTGATCTCAGCAGTTAAAGGTTGCAAAGAAATGAAGACATCAATGAGGAATACATGGAAGGATATCACAATGCAATCATTAAACAAGTGCTATTCACTAAATAATGGTAATGGCAAAACAAACTAACCTTCACCCTTTTAAGCACTGCAGAATCAATATCAATATTGTTCTCTTCGACAATGTAGTCGATCATGTTCACAGACATCTCCTCATGAGACCTAGAAAGCAATCAAAGTTATAACCCTAAAAGTGGACTAGATCTCCTGACTAAAAACATATACCATTTACAACCACCAAACAAACATGAAGTATCCCTATAAAATTGCACAAACTAATTTCACAGAAAGTGAAAAGATCCGTGTGCTGTATCTCTTACCTAAAGAACATGGACATGTTGCATATGCAAGTCATAAATGAAACAGAAAAGCAGTGATATTAGCTTCAGAAAGGTTTAAGTTTGTAAAATGCAATCTTCTTCTACTGTACAAGAAAATGGAGCTAAATTCACTTGAAGATTGTAAGAATCACCATGTGCACCCGTTAATAACCCGAGGAAGAAACTCGCGCTCAAACATGTGGCTGAACGGCCCATGGCCAATATCATGCAGTAGTCCTAGAAAGAGATTTGACAAAAAATAGATCTGTGGGACCAGGTTACAAGAAGAAAAGCATTTATTACAGCAGGTACAGATTCATTACCAGCAAGTTTTACTGTTGTCCTGTCAAAAGAATCAATTTTGAGGTCCTCCTACAAGGATGGCAGATGAAAGAGGAATGAGTTCTTATTCATAAGTTGCAGAATGAGAATGATTAGGCTGTGATGACAAATTCCTACATGGTAGAGTTTAATTTTATTGATAGCTTCACCAGCCAGCCAATACACCCCGAGTGAATGCTCAAACCGAGAATGTACAGCCCCAGGGTAAACCATGTGTGCCAGACCTGGATCAGAAGTAAGATTAAAATCAAACCTGAAGTATTGAATAGAAATACATCGGTAGAACAGGTACAGACGAATGTAGTAAGGTGATTTCAAACAATGAGGATATATTAGATAACATGTAATATGTGTACTTACACACACAGACACACAATCCCACACCCGTTGGTCACAAACAAAATGAAATTGGTACTCAACTTATTTCAAGAAGTTGGGGAAAGAGATGGGTTATGTCAGCATATCTACAACAATTAATATCTAGAAATTTAATATCCCCGTTAACTGTAAATCTAACATTTGTTAATGCTAATTCATTTAGTAAGTTCAACTCACCAAGTTGTTTAAGATCACGGAGCCTGCAAAAAATGACAGCAATATCAGGAAAAGAAATCCAAAAATTTACTCAAGAGAAAATGACCCTTGCATAGAATATTATCAAACTTGCCTCTGAAACTGTGCAGTGTCGATGAACTTCAAGAAAAGCTGCAACAAACAACAGAAAGATTCATTTGATACGATATTTAACATAACTTCCATGACTCGTTAATTTACATTCTCAGTTGAAGGCAATGTACAATGTTTACGGTAAGTAAAAGTACAAAGTCAATGTGAAAGAAATCCATATTTAAATACTTTACCCAAGAAATTAAAATGAAAAATCACAATAAACTTGAGAATTTGAATTTCAAATGATGAGCCTTAACACATCATTACCTCAAATCCAAGCCTAATTCAAATTCAACAAAAGACAATTTGTTCCATATCTTGTGTTCCATATCCGCTATGATTTATCGACTTCCATTATTTATCAAAAGTTAGATTTCACTTGTTAACTATTAATGTGAGAATTTATGCTTCTTCGACTTTGAACTTTATTATTTGAATTTTCAAGCCAAATTACTCAAATCCCCTGACAAATCATCAATCTCAGAATACAAAATCTTCAGTCTCAGTTCTACTTCTACACCAAAGCATCTAAACCTAAAATCCTCAAGCAGTTCTAAAATCTGTCTTCTCTGAAACTTAAACCGAAGCAGAAAATAGAACAAAACAACTATTTGACAAGAAAATTACCAATAATTTACCTCAATCAGTTTAAATCAGAACTTTAGGTCCAAATATATTACCTGTAAAGCTATAACTCACTTCAAACTCGATCTACCAAAACAAAAAGTTTTGATTAACATGCTCGAGATGATTTGCAATCTAAATTCATCAAACAATTTCCTAATGCTCTGAAATATGATCTAGATACAGCAGAAATCAACGCCAGCGATTTCAGAAAAGCTGATGCATACGATCGCTTTAAACTTAAAATCGCAATTAACAGTCTCAAAACATATGAACATGAAATTAATTAAACAATATGCATTCCTCTAAACTACGAGCCAAATCAAAGCTGAAAACTAAACTAAAACTAAAACAAACAGTTCTTACAGCAAGATTTCGATATCGCATTATTCGATACAACAGCGGCTTTAAAACACAAAATTCGAAAACAAACTGCTCTCGCATTCATTTCAAATCTACTATTCTCATTTCCGAGAGCAATGGCACGAAACAGAGACGATGCACGAAAAACAACATCATCACAGATAACGCGAAATCGCAAAAACGAAACTAAGCGGCGGAATCGAGGCACATACCGGCTCGAGATAGATGATTCCATGGACGTTATCGCGAACATGCTTCGACAAGCTCCGGTCCTGATAGATGCTATCGGTGAACTGCACCAAGTCTTCATTCGCACGCGCTCCCATTGCTCGTTCACCGCTACTGTACTTCGAACGCTGACAGAGGAAAGAAGAGCACCGGAGCTCGGAAATTAAAACCTAACGATTTCGAATCCGGACTGCAAGCTAGGATTTGAAGAGAAAGCAGAGAGAGAAAGAGAGAGAGAGAGATGGTTACAGTGGAAATTCGAAAATGGAAGAGGGAACGGACTGGAGGAGATTTTATGGCTACAAGATTCTTGGAGTGTTGGAGTGAAAAAGGAGATGCCGCCAAAAACCAGTTTCGTGCCCCTACGGGCCTTCTTCGGCGCGTGGACGGCCCAATTATGAATTTGTTATTGATTTTTTGTTTATAATGTAATCTACTCTGTGGTGGCCACACTGGCCAGCTGTTTAGTAAATGGAAACGTTACTTTATTCATAAAAGTAAAGGAAAAGGAATGAAGCGTCTAATCCGTACTTTGTGGAAGGAGGTTACTTTTTAAACGTGATTAACTTGCTCCTTACTTAGTCGTGGCATATTACTTTAGTCTAAAGAAATTACTTTTCAAACGTGATTAACGTGCTCCTTACTTAGCCGTGGCATCTTATTTTAGTCTAAAGAAAGCATTGGAATTGGCACGGTAGAAATGAATAGTGTTTGGGTCTGAATTTCATTTTATTTACGGGCATGCCATTCCTTTAAAAAATGGGCTTTGTGGGTTTGGGCTCCGGATGGGGTTTTATTTGCTTGGTTGGAATTGTATTGGGCGGATGGAAATGGGGTTTAGGCACACAATCACCCACAGAGAGGAGTCACCTGCAGATTATGGAGAGATGAGAGCTGACAAAATGGAGAGAGTGAGGGCCGCCAATTTTGACTCGGGGAGAGATGGATGTGCTTCGGGTGGTTGGGGGAGGACAGGGGGACTGGCATATTGAAGAGAGATGGGTGCTAGGGCTTTCGACTCAGTGAGAGAGAGATTTATCTAGGTCCTCTGCCAGGACCTATGGGGTTTCCTCTGATTTGAGAGAGAGAGAGAGAGAGAGAGAGAGAGAGAGAGAGAGAGAATGACGGGGAAGGCATGGTTGTGTGCAGTTTGTGGGGTTGGCCGGTCAGGAAGGGGTGACTGAGGGAGGTATGGGTGACTTTGAGGGACTGACAGATTGCAGAGAGATGGGAGCTAGAGGTATGTATGAGTTTATTGTTTTTAATTCATTGTTTACTGTTTGATTTGCCATCTGCTTTCTTCAAATTGTCATAGATATTTTTTTTCCTTCTTTAAAGTTGTCATAGATTTTTTTAGGTGGTTTAGTTCATCGGCAGTCTATTGTTTTCTCTGGTAGAAAGGTCTAGTCTTGCTGTATCCTCCGACTCACTCCACTATGCCTCTGTCTTTGTGATTCTGGGTTCTGTTCTGCCATTTTTTCTTCTCAAATAAACCTAATTGCAGGTTCCTTTTCCACTTCCAAGCTTTTGTTATGCTTTGTGCTGATGTATTTTCTATTTTTAATGAGGCTCGATTGAAATATACATCAGTTTGATTGAAATATGCATCAACTTGAATGATTATGCTGTTGTGTTTCGAAGAATGGCAACTTTAATTGGTCTTAAGTCTCTAATTCATTGAACTATTGCATATATTGTGAGGTATTTAATTTTTCCATTGATTTTCATGTTGAAGATATAGATTTTCATTCTGTCGCTGGAGTTAACTTTCCTTTTAAGTGAAGTATTTAATTTTTTTTCCATAACTATCACGATTATCTTTACCCTTATCAATTTTGCCTTCATTCATAGCAAAAAACCTCACACAGAGCAAACAGGCACAACAAATGCCGCCAGAATTGCTACAAAATTCCACAATCTGGTTGACCCCAAGATCGAATCTACCGACAAAGTTCCAATTGCCGCCCTAAGAACAAAAAAACCAAAGATAGATAAATTACAATTTGTTTTTTGCATGCATGCTTGAATAGCGTTCATAATGGTTGCCTTTGTTACATTATAATTGATGTTTTTTGCTAAAGTGTCGAAGATGTTCGGTCCCAAAAAAAGTGAACAGCCATGCTCTCCGTGATCAAATGTTGCACACCATGCTGCATATTTTTTTTGTTTTAACATCTATGGTTGACGACTTACTTGCTCAAACACCACTTTTCCTATGTTTTGCTAACTGCTAAGTGAGGTATGTAGGTTGCAGAACATATATTTTGCAGTCTTTACTGCATGCTCAAAATATGTGTAAACTGCAGCTTGCTTCTGATTCTTCAGTTTCTTATCGGCTACTTCAACAAATCTTCAACACTTTATATTTTATATTTCCTGTTGAACAACCTGCCTACACTGCAGGACACATGTTATATGTGTGAACTAAATGTTTCTTCTGTTTCTTAAGTAAACAAATTTTTTTTGGAAATCATCTCTTTGTAATCAAACACGTATAGTTTCTTCCCACTCATGGTGCAATGTGTTTATATGCCAACTCACTTAAATGTGTATAAAAGCAAAATTGATTATCTTACCGGTCTCATTCACTCATGTATCCCTATATTTGTTCATAATTGTCTTGAATTTATTCAACTTAAATGTGTTTTATACATTTGGTTATGTTTGAAATAGTTAGTTCCCGCAGCAACGCGTGGGCGTAATTTCTAGTTTAAATTTAAACTTAGCTTTCGTGGTTTACCCCAATTAGTGGTTGTATTAAACGGCAGATACGTGGCTCCATTTTTTTTTTTTTACACATTTTTGTGAGATCCACTTCATAATATATTTTTTTATCTAAACCGTCTAATTTTTAGAACATCATTTATAAGTCATTTTTACAAAAAATTAGACAAATCCAAATCAATTAAGACATTTATTTATAACAAAAATTGACGAGTACGGACAAATAATGCTAAACCCTTAATCCAATAGTTATATGGTTTCAAATTTCGGAGATTTTTTATAGACATACCTTTGGAGGAAGATCTAAAAGATAGACAATTTGAATTGTTAAAATACAATATGAAGTGGACTCCACAAAAATGTGTCAAAAGTTGTATAAAAAAAATGGAGTCACAATTCTGCTCTCATATTATGAACTAATTTTTAAATTTAATCTTAATGCATATTATAGATTATACTTTTTATCAAATAAAAATTGCATTCATAATTCTGTTACAACGACCTATCTAGCACCTCAAGAGAGTTCATTTAACCAAACTTAAGCCTTATATATTGCGTAATGTTTTCTGGATCAACGTCACTCAGAGGGTAAAGTCACAGACTAATACTCATATGAACTCATTATTATAATAAGGGCAGTGTTATCTACACATCTTTTTTTACCTCCCACATACTCTCGTAATTTTTGATAAAATTGGTCTTTGTACTTCGATAGTATCGTGGAGAGATAATGGATTCTTGATTGGACCTCCATTAGTAGGCAAAAAATAGACAAGCTTCCCTGATTAGGGGATGTAGGGCATGACATAGACATACCCCTTGGATTAAGGGTGCAGGGCAATGGAGAAGGTATGGAATGAGCTGAGGGCAATATCTGCCATCAACACACAATATTCCATGTATTTAGCATGCGAAAATATAATTATGAGAAGACTTTTTAGCTAAAATGGTCACTGAAATTTACGTAAATCATCACTTCGGTCCCTGAGATTTGAAATGAATAAAAGTAATTCATGTGTTTGTCCATCGTCAATTATTTTAGTTATTCCATAAAAAATTATATTAGACAAGGACCAAAATGATAAAAATATTCTCAATTTAATAAACAACGGGCCAAATGATTTGATAAAAATTGAAGATATTTTTGTCATTTTAGCCTTATTTAATGGAAAATTTTCATGGAATAATCAAAATGATTGATAGTGAACAAACTCAAGAACTACTTACATTTATTTCAAATCTCAAAGACCAAAATGAGGAGTTATGCAAATCTCGGTACTATTTTGGCTAAAATGCCTTACAAGAATTTATGGAGGCATACTTTCATAGGAGAAACTCAATATTTCCTTCAGAAGGGTTTCGCACAATAAACAGGTTACATTTTCTGTTCGGAGAAGACGTCGAATACCTTAAACCGGTAAGCCATAAGACGGGCAGTCAGGCGGATGTGCATACAAGCAAAAGCTAATTTGAATCTGCCGGACAAGGTGACACGAAACGTGAATAACAAGAAGGCCAGGTAACGAAGTTACATCGCGGTGCACCACAAGAGATAGGTCCCGGGCAGAGCAGTCAAACTAACGCGTGCTTAGCATGCTTCATCTAGAGGATTTAGGAATACAATGTCCAGATAATCGAATCACGCAGAGACTTCCACTGCCATTTTGAATTGCTCGGGCACGCGAAGCAAGGGAGCTTGGACTACATCGGGATTGCCAAGCTGACCACAGGCAGCCATCTGATCATCACCTCTACTCGACCGCAAGAAGACACGGCACCCTAACTCAGCCAAGAGATTCCGAAACTCAACCATCTTCTCCTCGCTGGTTGGTCTGAATTGGGATCCGCTATGAGGGTTAAATGAGAGGAGGTTGATCTTGCATGGAATTCCCTGAACGAGATCAGCAAGCCTCTTCGCATCCTCCACACTGCATTATGCCAAGAACAGAGTCAAACCACCAAAACAAAGAACAGAAAAGAGGGATCCCAGATTGTGGGAGCGTAAATGTATTGGTTCCGAAAAATCATAATCAAGTAATTAGAGCTTGCTTGACATACTGCAACAAAAAGAAACTTCAGATACGACATATTCGAGTCAAACAGCAGGCAGTCGAAAAGCTAATTTACCTGTCATTTATTCCTGCAAGCATCACATATTCAAAAAGAACTTTGTAGTTACTCTTGAAGCGAAGTTCCTCCCTTAGGGTCTGAAGAAGCAAGTCTAATTTATATTTCCGGTTAATTGGCATGATCCAGTTTCTGACCTGCGGATGCGATGTTTGTGCAAAGGTTATACCCCCGTGCGAATGTGTACAAGTGTGTTCTATCCACATATACATGTGGTTTGCCAATTCAAATAAAATGAATGTAAATACCTCATCTGTCGTTGCATTCAAACTAACGGCTAAAGCACAATTAGATTCCTTAAGGAAACGCCTCATCTGGGGAACCAGCCCACTTGTTGAAACTGTGACCTTTCGAGGACTGAAATATAGGCCTTGATCATGTAGCATTATGTCTGCAGCTTTAAGAACATTGTCAATGTTCTGAAGTGGTTCTCCCATTCCCTAGAAATTTAAATTTATACGTATTAACAGAAAAACGAACTAGGATTTTCTTATTTGGGTTAATGAAAAAAAAACGTATATCCATGTGAAAATGTATCGTGAACTGCTGACCTACCATAAATACAACATTCGTAATGTCGCCAACTTCACTTGTGAACAAGGACCGTGCAAATACAGCCTGCTCTACAATCTCAGCTGCAGTCAGGTTCCTCCTTAGACCCATCCTGCAAATGGAAGGATTTAGAACCAACATTCAGATTATCTGGGCTACGGAAATTGAAAGAACGTAGAATTCACAGCTTAGAGGAGAAGAATGAAGCTTACCTGCCAGTGTAGCAGAATTGACAATTCATGGCACAGCCCACTTGACTCGAAACGCAAACAGTATTCCTGCTACGACTATCGCTAGCGACGCTAGGTATGACGACAGTTTCTATCACCAATCCATCTTCCAAAGTGAACAGAATCTGAAACCTCCTGTGAGTTTCATAATCAATGAGAAGGTTCTCTAAGAAATGCTAGTAACCTTCTAAAGCCATATATGATATTCACAAAAGCAGTTTTAACCGAGAAGAGTAAGACCACGTACGATGATAGTTAAGCAATACAGGGGACATAAGGAAATGAATCCATGTACCTTTCTAGTTCCATCAGCCGCGGTAATAACTTGTTTCAAAGCCAATGCCTTGAACTCGGCACTCTCACTCAACATCTTCTTAAAATCTTTGTTCAAGCCTACGCATTAAAGATGGTGAGCGAAATTCATTGACCGGAAATCAAATTACATCAAGATTCACGAGGAAACTGAATAAAGCACAAACAAGTGGAATTGGGTTAACAGGATAAGGAAAAGTAGGAGGAAAAACCTTCTAGTTGATCACTGTGATGCGCCCAAATACCATTCCCGTATATACGTTTCCATAGCATTAGAGCCTGGCCAGGCCTGTACCCATGTGACTGAACCCATTTCTGTCAATGCATTACAAATCATAAGCAACACATTTTCGACAAGACGATATTCTAAACTAATCTAATCTAAGGAGAGCGGGATTCAAACTTGGGAGCGATATTCATAAGTGACATAGGCAATAAACAGTGAGATGAGAAAGAATTACTTCAAGTTCATCGTATCGCATGCCCTTGAGAAGCACTTTCGAGCTCCGGTTCGTAATCCCACTCCTTTCACCACCTGCTGACCAGAGGGCAGACGAAATCAGAGCTAAGAAGAAGATGAACCCAGAACAGAAAAATCGAAATTAAAGAGCCTGCTCGAAGAAAAAAAAAGGTGTGCTCACCGGAATCGAAGGAAGTTTCGTCGACGGAGACGAGAGGACGTGGAGGAGAACAGGACGCGGCTGTTGAGAGAAGGCGGCGGTGGGAGGAGGCAAGAGGAGTGAGAGATGGCGTAGAAGGTTTCAGAAAGGGAGAGGAGACGGGGTTTTGGAGTGTGGCAGGGGTTAACAAGGCGGCCATGGGAGGCTTCTGCGGCGGCAGAGAGGTTGGTCTGAGCATGATTCGTCTCAACCACATACAGCCCATCTCTCGCGGGACGATAGCGGTAAACCAGTAGGTTCCCGGGATGCAAAACCTTTAAATTAGACTTAAAATGACACCGTTTTGAGGACTAATTAATGTAGGCAAATTTTTGGTCTAAAAGAATTGAATATTTCTCTTGTATTCATTTCTCGGGACTTTTGCAGTGCTAGGGAAGAGTTGTTTATGTCACACGACCCACAAAGATTTACCCGATTTGAGTTTACAATTTGGACCCGCCTCCTCCCCGTGTTGGACCGCATAAACGCTCCTCGACCTGCAGGTCAAGAACCCGTTTATCCACAAGAATAGTTGCAAGATGTGAATAACTAGTTAGTAACTGGTCGCTCACATCTCGCTACTATTCTGCAATGTCCCACATTGAAGAATGTTTGACAAAAATGTTAAGCAAAATCGAATATTTCAATCACTCCAAACCCATTAAACGTTTCAATAAAACCGTGCACATTGTTCAAGGTCATGTTGCTTAAATGGTTAACACCGTTCACATCATATGCACCCGAGGTCATATGTTTGAATATGCACTCCCCCAATGTCGAGTGTATAAAAAGAGATGCAAAATCGTGTTTAGAAAGAGTGTCCTTCACTACCACAAAAGCTTTCATGTCCAACATGAATTGTGCCATGTGGTGAAGGTGCAGTTTTTTGATACAAGATTTATTAGCGGTGAACTTCTCGAAGTCTTGAAAAACTACAAGTATTAATGAGACATCTGCAAAAAACATTACTCCTGTAAAACTTCTCAGAGTCTTCAAAACTACAAGAACAGAACGTCGAAAGGAAAAAATTGTATTACAAGTACATAT